CCGAAGGGCAGCCATGGTGGACCCATGAACTTGGCTCTACGGAAGCCCACAGGGCCCTGTTCATTTGGGATGTGGTTGGAATTTCAGTATTGCCTCCATGAGCATCCATCATACAGCCAAGTTGACGGGCAGGCTGGTTCTGAGTATCCCATGGCCAACAGCTGCCCACACTCAGCAGGCGAGTTGCAAATGTCCAGAGGAACATTTGGGTAGTAAAGGGCAGTCCCCACAGGCCAGCACCCAGGAAAGCCCCAGCTGCAGATCTGAAAGACAGTGGTGGAAAGAACATGACCTTCCAATGCTGAGGATAAGCACTGTGGACTTGAGGCAGCTGCCCATGGTGGCCTTCATTACTAGCATCGCTGACAGTAAGAAAGGCACCAGCTTCAAGGTTCTTGACCCAGCCGTGCTTCCCAGCGACTCGATCCTGGACGCCTTCCAGCCTGGAGCAGGAGTCTGAAGACCACGTGAGGTTGCACGTATGAAGCACCGGCCCCCATAAAGCTCTGCCACCTCTGCGGAACCCACTGCTCAGCTCCATCAAGCACCTCAAGGGCCACGTGCAGGCCCTTCAGCCTCACAGAGGCCACATGCCTTTCTGCAAACCTCGAGCTCCTAGAGCCCTGATCACAGTGCCCCCAAAAATCCAGAGGATGGGCAGGGGCCCTGGGGACGTGTGCACTCCCAAGCACCATCCGCTCCGAAGCTCTGCGGATCCGCAGCCCCGGGAACTCCTGCATGGAGAACCGGGCAGGAAAGGGGCTCAAAGCCTCAAGCAATTAGCAGCAAGGGGAGGCCTCAGGGTCTGCAGGGGATCCTAATGGGGTGGATTAGGGGGCAGCCCACTGTCTCTGCATTCTTACAAGCTCCATAAGAAACCCTGATGTGCGCCCCTCATTGAGAACCATTGAACCAAAGAAATTAGATGGCGCACATTTAGAGGGCGGGACAACTGGAAGAGGGAGGGCACGGGGCAGTGGAAGAGGAGCAAGGGACCTGTCCACTGGCATCGTGGGCAGCGGGAGGGGGCTGCATCTCCGCTGACCTTCCCAGCCAGAGTCCCTCTTGTCCCCGTGCCGCTGGTCCCCAGCGCTGAGGTCAGCCCACCACCTGCTTCCTGCGGGCCTGAGACTTCTGCCACTGCTTGACAGCTCGGGCTTCCTCCTTGTGTGACCTTCAGATCTGCAGCCACTGGAACGAAACGAAGCCCTTTTCTCCTGCCTTTGTGTCACTTTGGAGCCAGCAGTGTGACCTCACAGATCTCTCGGGCCTCTGCCCCCAGGGCTGCGGTCCTGGCTAGAATTCTGCCTCGTAAGGAAGGCTCTCTGGGCCTCCTGGGGGTGACCAGAGGGACTGTCCCTGGCCAGCGCCCCGGGGGACAGAGACCTACAGAGTCCACCTGGCCTCTCACCCTCCCTCCTTCTTTGTACTCAGTCACTTTGGTCTGCTTTCCTTGGAGTACCCAGCCCTGTCCCCCTGCAGAGGAAGCCACGTTCCAGGAGCAGCCACGGGGTTGCCATGGCAGCTGCTCGCCTGTCTCGGAGGGATGTCATGGCCTCATTCTGGCTGCCCAGAGTCCCTGGCCCCAGCCTCTTTCCCCGATCCTTTCAATAGGCTTGCAGTGCCCCTGGCGCCAGCGCACAGCGCCTGTTCCTCCTTCTCGAGCAGCTTTGCCCCGGGCAGCAGAAAACTGCTGGACTTAGCCACAAAGGAATAGGTCAGCAGTTCCTCTCCTCACCACCCTGCAGCCTCTCAATGCTGTCAAGGTCAGAGTGCTTAGCACTGCCACCAGGACCTCTGGGCTATGGCCTCAGGGTCCTTGGTGTCCTTGGCTCCCTTATAGCCACTCAGACGCACTGTACCTCTCACTGTTACTAACCAAGCAGCTCCTGCCGCAGGCCCTTTGCACCTGCCACTGTCTAGTCTGTTCCCTGATCTCTGGAGCCCAGCCCCTATGGGGCACCCACCATGGCAACACTGCACCCTACCTCTACATTTGCAACCGGCTTCATCTTCATCATGGCCCCTTTCAAGCCCCTCTTTTTTGCTGTTGGTGGTGGTGGTGGTTTAGCGTCTGTCTTTCCCACCAGGCTCCTCCAGAGATGGGGGCAGGCACCTCCTTTGTACTGCACAGTGAACATTTGCTAAGTGAGTGGGCGCCTACACCTGGGCTCAAAGCCTGGCCCTGCTGGCTGGCAGCTCTGTGGCAGGGCACAGGCCACCTGTCCCTGTGCCTGTCCATGATGCAGAGGGGACAAGGCCTGTCGTGGCCTGGTGAGGAGGACACTGTGGTGCCCAGCGCCTGGGACCTGGCCACACACACACAGTCCCCGACGTGGCCTACCCATTCTTGTAACCACCCTTTCAGGCTCCCTAGGGTCCACACACTTCCAGGGCCCCTGCCACCAGGTCGTCATCTGCCACGGACTCTGCAGTGCACACCTGGAAATGACTCCAGCCAGGGGCGAGGCAGGGACTTCCATGACACTGACATGATGACACTGGGCAGCTGTGGAGTGCAGAGCCCTCCTCCCCTCCCTGAAGCAGATGCCCAGAGCAGGGCTCCCTGATCTTCCCAGGAGTGCCCTTGGCTCGGGCTCCAGAAGGGTGAAAACATTCACAGCTCGGCTGGAATGTTTCTTTTTTTTTTTTTTAAAGCAGGCTGGAAGATGGATGCACCCATTTCTGAAACTTTAGGAAACGAAATATTCTGTCCATTTAAAGCCCAGCCGACATTAGTCTGATGCTAAGACACCACCTCCAGCGTGCTGTGCATGGCTTTCCTCAGAGGCAGAACTCATGGCAGGGAGCATCCGAGCAAGGCCTGGGAGTCCAAGAACAGATGGACCCCTGTCCCCACCCTCTGGGTATCCTGTGGGGGCTGTGGGTGCATGCACCGGCAGTCAGCTCCACCAGCTTGACGCCACTGTGGTCATCAGCCGGGAAGCCTGCAAGCTCTGTGTCCCTTGCTTAGCTGATGAAGTAAGACCCTTGCTCAGACAGGTTAACTGGTCCACGGGAGACACAGGCAGAATCCCGATCCATCAGCGTAGTTAGTGATGAGTTAGGGACCTGCAAGGCACAGCTCAAAGATCAGTGACTGCCAAAGGGGAAGACTACGGGTCATGGCCCCCTTAGCAGGCTGCACCCCAGTACCGTGCAGCGTCACCCCTGGGGTCAGGACAGTCCCACTAGAATGGGAGGCATCCGGGCAGCCACTTATCAAGAAGCATGAAGGTTTTTAAACTGACCACTGCTTAACAGGTGAGAGGTGCTGCTGGTGTAAACACTGAGCACCACCCCCAGCCCTGCCACTTAGTAGCACTTAGTAGCCACTTAGTGTGACCATGGGATAATGGCTTACTGCAGACTACAAATCCCACTACAGTGAGCTGTCAGTACCTTCCCCGAGAGGTACTTTGAGGATAGCAAGAAGATAACAGGACCTAGCCCTGACCCTGTTTATAGAAGGTGCACAGTAAATAACCAGTGTTTTTGTTATTCACTTGCTGTAGAAATACAGAATTTAAATCTCTAAAAGCTAAGAGGAGTCTGTCCCCACCCAGCACCTCTCAGAGGTATGTGGAATATGAGGTCCAGGTCCAAGCTTTTAAGGTGAAGATAACTAGAAAGTAACCAGGTCACTGGCACCTCAGACAAGTAGGTGGCCAGAGCTGGTGTCTTGGTTACTTTTCTCTCCTTGCTGGGACAAAACGCCCAACACCCAAAATGAAGGAAGGAAAGGTTTATTTCGCTCACTGTTTGAGGAGGTTTCAGGCCATTACCAGCTGGTTCCAAGGCAGGATGGCCTGGCATCGGGGCAACACCTCAGGCAGCAGCCAGAGCAAAAGGGGGCAGAGCAAGCCTCTTCTCCTCCCTTTTATTGTACACAGGCCACACACACACACACACACACACACACACACACACACACACACAAGCTCTCCAGGGTGGGTATAGCACTGAGGATATTTGCAAAGAACCTGGGCTCTGGGCTGAGTCTCTTAGTTAACACAATGTATCAACCATACCAGCAGCCTGGGAGCCAAGCTCCAGACAGGTGGTGCTTTGTGGTTGTTTTCTTCCTATATTGAAAGGACCATCAAATTAAGAAACAGAGCTATGGTGCCTCTAGCAGCAGAAGAGAACTTAGTGGGAAGGGTCTCAGCTGGAATAGAGCTGTCCACAGGGAAACGCACTGTCCCACAAAGTAGTGAGCGCCCATCCTGGGAAGTATTTGAGCAGAAAGCAGATGACCACTTGCCGGGAAGGTGCTAGAAGAAATTTTCTAAATCCACACAATCCATTTTTAAATGCAACCAAACAAGCCAGGCTGTGGCTGCAGGTCTTCCCTAGAGGTAGCCGCATGAGTTGGGCAGATAAATCCCTGGGAACCGGAGCAGGGAGGACTCATTCGGCCCTCCCTCCATGGAGTGAAAAGCAGGGTGCTGGGACTTGGCAGATGTGCCAGCAAGCTGAAAAGTGCAAAAGCCACAGGGTACAGGGACCGGCAGAGCTCGCACACAGGGTGAGCACATGGTTCCACAGGCCCAGCCGCATCCACTGGCTACCTTCCTGGGTGACCCAGGATGCGGCCACCAGCTGGTCACTGCCGGGTAACCCACCCTGTGACCGAGGCTTGGTCTGGGCCTGGATATGTGGCCTGGGCTGATCAGCCTGGCGAACCAGAGCTTAGAGGAAGCAAACGACGTGGGGCACAGGAGGCCAAAAACTCCTGGCTTCCCAAAAGGACGTGGGGTGCTTGGGAGCTAACGTCTTGGTCTGCAAAGAGCCCTCTTCCCAGAGGAGGGCGACATCACCGCTGGGACTGGCAGAAAATGAGTGACTGGGGTCAGGCGAAGGGGAGAGGTGGGGCGAAGACAGGGCAGAGGACGAGGTGCTGCCACCCAGAGGCCCCCGAAGGTGCCCGCCTCGTCGGGGGTGCGCCTCCACGCTGCCCTCCGCCCTAAAGCCGCACCTCCCTCTGCTTCCCTCGGCAGGACTCTCGGAAAACAGCACCGCGTCGCGGGGGCCAGACCCACAGGAGGAGCAGCTCCGGCTGCAGCTGGAGGAGGAGAAGAGGAGGTGCCCCTCTTACCCGCCCCGCATAGCCGGCCCCCTGGAGCCTTCAGGGCGGGGACTCCGAGGGGAAGTGGGTCCCGCAGGCCGGCCTGAAACAGCAGGAAAAAGGGGAACTGCCTTCTGGCAGGGCCTCGCAGGGGCCCGGGGTGCAGAGCCCAATCCCCCAACCCCGCGCGCGCAGGCTCGGAGCGGCCAGCCTTGCGCGCTGCCGCCACCTGGAGGAGGCGGAGAGCGCGACCCCAGCCTTCGCGCTTCCCCCAGCCTGAGCCGTGGGAACATGGGACCTGCACACGGTCACGTAGGGGCCCAGGGCACGACTCTAGCTACAGAGTGAGGAGCTGTGAGCAGGTGGCTTTGCAGAATGCCCCCAGCACCCCGGGCACGCTTTGCTTTTCATTTGGGCATCTATCCGCGCAGTGCGGGTCTGCCAGCTCTGCACTGTGGAGAGGTTCTGGGGACACCACAAGTCCCCTCCTGAGTATCATGGAAACGCTGCCTCTGCCTAAACCCCAGCCCCATGCATGATCCCAGAGGTGCAGGGTCCGAATGGGCAACATACTGATCCCGACCCTCTCTCAAAACGAAATGACCCCATCTTAACTTTGGGTTCTCATCATGAAGATGACCAAGGAACGTGACCCCACAGCAGGTTCAGATCCGGTCTCCAATTGCTGGGTACAGAGTCCCTGGCCAGGGTCTGAATCCATGCTAGGGAGGTGAGAATGGTCCTGTCTCCTTCACTGCCAAGAGAAGCGAGGGAGTCAGGGTCCCGGCCTGACCAACTAAGCACTCAGGGAAAGGGGGCTCATATTGTCTCCATCTCATGGAGCCCCTGGATAAACATGCCTCGCTCGGCCGAGCCTGGGGCACATCTGGCCTTGGCCCTTGGTGCCTGGGCGGCCCTGCCTGGCTGCTCAGCCAAAAAGAACCCCACGTATTTACAGCCCCGCTTCTGGGTACTGACCCACAAGATGGCAGGCACTACCTCTTCTCTGATCCCGCTGCAGGTACAAAACAATGTTCACACGCCTCAAAGCCCTGAAGGTGGAGATCGAGCACCTGCAGCTGCTCATGGACAAAGCCAAGGTCAAGCTGCAGAGAGAATTCGAAGCCTGGTGGGCAGCAGAGGCCAGCAGCCTGCAGGTATGGTGTGGGGACGCCAGGGCAGCCGCGGAGGGGCCGTCAGGAGACAGAGGGAGACGGGGGCTCCAGCCCCAACCCACCAGCTCTGGGCCCAGGCTCAGGCTGGAGGAGGCGGCTCCCCAAGTCTAGGGCTGAGCTCCCACCGCTCAGGGATCACACCCTGACATTTACTGCTTTCCCTGTTGCAGAGCCTCGTGGGTAGGAATTTAATCATAAGAATTTTAGAAAACACAAAGAAGGAAAGTAAAAATGATTTTTCTCACTTTAAACCACCCACTGCCAGAAGACCAGTATTAGCATGTTGGTTTGCATTGTTTTATGTTTCTCTCTCTGCATATCTATCAATATGTCTTATAAAAAGACAGAATCATACTGATCTTCAAGTATCACAAACAGCTTATTTTTGCCTGTTTAGAAGGGCTGTTTTTCATGTCATTATTCTAGATTGTTCCAGTCTGTTACCATTCCATCGTAGGAATTTATTTTAATGAATTTAACCAAACTGTTCTTGAGTAGTTAGGTCTGAGGATGTCAGCTCCAGTGCCCCCGTCCTTGGATGTCACTGAAACAACAGGGGTCAGATGACAGCAACGGGGATGGCCTGACATCCTCCTGCAGAGGTGACGTCCTCCTGCAGGGCACGGGCTCTGTGTTGCTGCTGAGTAGTTCCACAGCCTGAGCTAGCAGTGCATCCGGAGGGAGCTGAGGCGGGAAGCCTCGGAGCTCACGGGGAGAGACTTCCCTGTGGAAGCTCCCCAGGCGGTCGGGAAGCAAGTGGGAGTCACCTACTAGGTTCCCAGGCCACTCACAAGCTTCCCGAGCTCAAGGCTCCTTGAGGGTCACCAGGCATCCCACCAAGACATGGCTTGGCAGTGATGGAAGCAGTGCCACCCGGCCCCCCAAACACACACGGGCTTCCCAGCGCCCCGTGGCAGGGCTGTGCCCTGCATGGGAGCTCAGTGTTACTAGGAGACGAGCTGTGGGTGAGGGTATGTGAAACCAGAAGGGATTTCTGGAGCACTGTCAGGTGACATCACAAACCATTATCTACAAAAATTAGTAACTAGCTCAATTCAGAAAACTTAGAAAACACAGAAAAGCACAAAGAATAAATCAAAGCTGCCCTGTAATACTACCACCCAAAGATGATATTTTGAAACCTGACAGTAGAATCATAAATGTGTCTGGATTTCTGTTTTGCCATATACCTTGTACGTGCCTGCTTTTATAACTGGCTTTTCCTCCTTACATCGGAACGTCTTCCTGTGTCATTAGACTCGGGCTAACTCTCTTCCCCGGCCCACCAGGTGCGTTCTCCAGCCGCGGATCCACTGGGTCCAGGGAAGCTTTTTCCCCCGACCACCGAGCCCCAGCCGGACTGGACCCAGCTCCTGGCTAACCGAAGGTAAGGAGAGAAGTCTGGGGACCCAGAGAAAGCTCCCTTCCTCTCCCCTCACCCCGTCCTTGCTGCTCTGTGTCCTCTGAGGCTCTGCCCTCCTGGAGCAGGCCTTGCCCTGGCTGTTACTTGGCCACAGATATGCAGGCAGGCAGCTTGCGAGGTTGCTCAGGGAACTCCTTTCAGTCCCTGCTGTGACAGCCCGGAGACCCCGTGTTACGGCTGTGTCTCACTGTCCTCCCAAAGCCTCATGCAGTCGTAGGTGGGGCTTCTTCACAAGTGGCTGGATCTTGTATGTGACTGATACATGGCACAATGCTAGGAGCAGGAGGGTGAGTGTCACCCGTCCTAAGGGACAATATAAGGGGCAGGAAGAGGCTCTCTGCTAGTTCACGCAGCAGGGGCTTGCTTGCTTTTGCTGCCTCTGCCTGCCATGGGCTGTGTCTCCTCTGCAATGCTCCTGTGTCGAGCCACCTGCCTTGGAGCCAGCCGGCCACAGACTGAAACCAATACACACTATGAGCTAAGCAAACCTTTCCCCCTTCAACTCAAGAAAAAGTAACTGAGACCCCCACCATGGTGACAAGAGACCGGAGGTTCTAGTCCTGCCCTAACAGGAGCACAACTGGCAGGGGGACAGAAGGGGGCTGGGGGAGACCAGCCAGAGGGGTGCAGACATCAACTGTGTCTTGGTGAGGATGCAGGAGATAAACGGGCAGCCTCCTACGATGCCACGTGAAGACAGGCCAGCGCTGTCTGCCCAAATAATAGATGTCTGCTTCCCACCCCACGCTCTGTCTCTTGCTGCTAGAGCCCATGCTACATGCCCCTGCCACCTCCATCCGTTGGGCCAGGAGCAGCCAGAAGAGAGGCCACGGCTGCACAAGTAAGGCGACTGTCTCTGTCTGCCACCCCAGAGCCACCTGGCCCTCAGCTTTGAAGGCCTGCTGAGGCCTCACCTTGGAAGCATGCAGCAGAGTCTTGAAAGCACAGAGGCGCCAATGGCGTCCCAACTGCGAGGTGAGGAACCCGCACTGGGCTCCCCTTGGATGCAGGAGATGCTCTGAGCCGATCGCCCCAGGCGAGGCAGGAAGAGAACCTTGGCCAGGTCCCAGCCAGCCCTCCCCCAGACTCACAAGGTCGTCAGGATCCAGGAGCCCGAGTGCTACAGCCAGGAGCTGTCAGAGGAGCCGTGACCGCCAGGTGTCCTGTGCGCTGGGTGGGAACAGAGAAAGACTCCGCGTGGAAATGAAGAGGAGCCTAGTGAAGGGGCCTCAGAGAGCCAACGAGCCCGCATCACCACACAGAAATGTGCAACAGTGAGCCGCAAGGTGTGTGCAAACCTGAAACTTCTGTAACTTACAGACACCAAAGAAGGCTCATCCAGAGCAGGACAGGCCCGCCGCGGAGCCCTCGCGCCAGGCAGCAACTCCCGCGGTGCCACCTTGCTTGCCGGGCCAGAAACACAGCCCGGGGGTCCTTCTCAGCCCAGGGAGCCAGCGGCCCTGTGTTCTGTTTGGCTCAGGGGGTGCCTTAAATAGCAGTATCCATTCATAGAGAAAAGAACTGATCAGTTAGACTTCATTTACATTTTAGATGCTGCTTTGTTAAAGAAAGGAAAGGCGACCTGGGATTGGTAGTGCAGGCCTGAAATCCCAGTACTCCCATGCAGCAGGACTGCGGTTCAAGCCCAGCCCGGGCAGTTTGGTGACTTCGTGAAAACCCGTCTCAAAATTAAAAAGGGCCGGGGATGTTTACAGCTCAGTGCAGCGGCCCTGGGTTCAGTCCCCGGGACCACAAGAAAGAGACAGGAAGGACGCAAAGGAGAAGGGAGAACATAGCTGCAGAGCAGGCACAATACCTGCAAACTCACATCTGCAAAGCACTGACTGCAAACACCGCGGGGGGTGAGGTCAACAGTTAGGAAATAACTGAGTTATTTCACTCCGCGGAGGGAAAGAGCCTAACCACCCCTTGGCCACTGGGACACAGATGGCAGATAACTGTGGGACCAGGGGCTCAGCACTCTGCACTGGGGACTCGCAGCTGATTAAAACAAGGAGGTAGCACTGAGCCCACCAGGCCCCCTCGCAGGCCCCCTCCTCCTCCAAAGGCCTGGGCAGCGGGACTCCCACACGTGACCCTCACCACCGCAGAGGGGCAATGCCAAGCTCAGCCCCCTCCAACAGGGAAACTGAGCCCCGCAAAGGAGAGACTGTTTTAACAGCGTTGCTAATAACATAAAGCCCTCACAGTGACATCCAGGGCCCAAGCCCCACATGTGATGGCTCTTTCACCTCCTCCCACCCGCTCCCTGCCTCTCCTCTGTCCCTTCTCTCCCTCGCACCTTCCTCCCACCTCTGTCTCCTCCTCCCATGCAGCCTTCCCATGTCCCTGTCCCACGAGCCAGGGTGGCCGTGTGTCCATGCAGCTGCCTCGGAACAGGTCCAAGGCCCTGAGGCCCAGGCACTCCTGAGACACCCAGGGTCAGCTTCCCGCTGCTCCCAGGGTGGGGCCCCTCCTGGGCCAACCTCACGCACACCACAGAGAAGGCTGCGGTGCATGGTGCTGGACATGGCTCTTCCCACAGCGTGGCCTTGGGCCAGAAGCTTCTCACACTGAGGTCCCTCGCCTCATCTGTAAGATGCACGGGGTCCCCCAACACTGCCACCCTGTGAGCAGGTGAACAGTCGGGCCCATGACTGCTTCCGCCTGAACTCCAGGCCATTGGTTGCTGACACAGACACAGGGCCCCCAGAGGCCACAGGGACACTCGGCTGGGCAGCCAGGGGCCTCCCCCTCAGCAGCGCTGCACCAAGAGGTGATAATTCATTCCACAGCTGACATGCTCCCCCTCCAGAAGGACATCAGTGAAAGGGCATTCGGTGTCATGGGAAGGCAGAGGTCACGGTGCCTCCCTGCCCAGGCTCTCCAGGAAGCTCCGAGCATGCGGGATGTCTCCATCTGCCCCGTGGCAGCCACACTTTCTGCCCTCCCGGGTCCATTCCACTTTCTCATCTGCCAGCTTCTAGTCCTCAGCAGGTTGGCAGCTGTGAACTGCCCCGCAATCTGAAAAGGTCCCCACCGCTACACACTGAGCTCATGAGTCACGGATTCCCACCTGACCTTGGCCTTCTCAGCTGGAACCGAGGCACCTTCGGGGGGAGCACCTCCCTGCTCCCCTCTCCAGACCTGCTGCCCCAGGGACCACCAGGAATCCTGAGAAACAGTCACTGCTCTCCAAAAACCAGCAGGCAGGGCCTGCCACCTTGTGGCGGCCTCCGGTCCTGCCACAGCCCTCAAAGATCCAGCACAGAGCAGGGGCCTCTCTCTCTGAGTCCAGGGGACAGTGCCCGCCCTGCTAGGAGATGACAGGTGGGGTCTTCTGGTTTCCCCTCCTGTTTGTCTGACCCACAGCTCTGAGCCCAGGGTCAGGGGCCCTGCATGTGTGCATAGCCGAGATGGAAGGGGGCAGCAGGCTGGAACTGGGGACCTGGGGACACAGGTGGTGACCTGCGGGGAGGACTTGGCAAAGCCAGCTCACCTGTCTCTCACAGGGCCCACCTCTCAGCCTGGCCCGATGTCCCCACCTGTGAAAGGACGTCTGATGGGCCATCTCCTGGGCCTCGTCCAGCTCTGAGCTGGCCCCCACGTGGGACCATCCCAGAGCGAGGACAGCGCAGCTTAGCATGAGTGCCGCGTCCTTACCACCTGCTGCCAGGTGCCACTCCACTCGGCCCACAGGGCTGAGGCTGCGGGCAGCAGTGCCCCTGGGAGCCCACCGGGCCTCCTTGGGGTGCGGAGCGAGCGGTGCCTAAGCTCCGAGGCATCACAGAGCTGCCTCGAGCTCTGTCCCACCACCAAGCAGATTCTCTCCACACCGGGAGGCACCTGGGTCCCGGCCCGGTGACACCCTCTGCCTGCCGCGCAAAGGACCGGTGCACGGTGCTGGCACGCGGACGGGGGCTTTTCAGCTTCAGCAGCCAAACCTGCGCCCCACAGCAGAAGTCAGCGTGGAAACGGCGCTCGCTCCTGGCTCTGTGTCCTGCCTGCGCTCACATTCAGCCTCTTCATTCCCAGCAAACGCTTCTCTCCCCAGCCCTCAGCTCCAAGGGCAGGAGCTGGCAGCTCCAGGAGCAGGCGGAAGAGGCAGGGCGCTCTCTGCCGTCTCCAAGGTCACTCCAGCCCTTCCCAAAGGCTGTGTCGCCACGGCCAAATCAGCCCCCAGACACTGCCCCTGATTACCATCACCTTGGGGCTCAGGTGCAGCACAGATGACTCGGTTCCCAGTGAGGCTTCCCACCTGCCCTCCCTCTTGGAGGACACAGGACAGAGGCTGACACCACCTTCCTGCTGTGTTTAGATGGACGGATAGACAGGAAGGCGCACAGACAGGCAGCTAGACAGACGGAAAGGCAGACATGCAGACAGACAGGCAAACACAGACAGAAAGGAGACAGACAGGTGGACACCACGCTCTGACTTCTATTCCTTTTCTTCTTTTTTTTTTAACACCAAGTACATTTATTAGAGAAAAAATAAAGTGTGGAAATACCCTCATATCTGTCCTTGAGAAATTAGAAATAAGAGACAGAACAAAACCAAAAATGAATAGAAGAAAATAAAGATCAGAAGACAACCCCCTATCAAATTGCCAACATCATTTTTCATATAGATTAACATTTTGATTCTTACATTTCTGGAAAAATAGAAAAGCCTCAGAATTAGTCTAAACAACTTTGATAAAGGAACAGAATTAGAGCTCCAACCCTCCCCAAGCCCATGACTGATCCCAGAGTTACGGCAATCATGACAAAACGGCCTTGATATCAAGGTAGACAAACTCCAGAGTACCAATTTAAAGTCCCAAAATAGATATCACGTAACAGACAATTGATTTCTGGCAAAGATGCAAAAGCAATTAAGTGGAGAAAAGACTGCACCCTCAATAAATATACTGGAGCACCTGGATATCCACACGCAAAACCCCAAACCGTACGGCACATCCAGCATTTCTTAAGACAGCCGAGAGTCAACTGGAAATGGCGCGCAGTGGGTTAGAGTGAAGGCAGGTGTGGCCTGAGTCGTTGCTTAGCTAAAGGCATTTTCTCTGGGACAAAATACATGTTTTTTCTTATCATGCTAATGAAACAATATGGTGTTTATTCACGTATGACATGTTTATTTCACTGAGAAGTATGTCCTCAAGGCACATCCATTTACCTATAAAAATATCCACTTTATCATGATTTATGGCTGAATAGTATTCCATTATATAGAAATACCACATCTTTTTTGGCCCATTGCTCTGCCAATGGGCATTTAGATTGTTGCCAAGATGTGGCTGTTATTAACCATGTTGGTATAAACAGGGGTGCACATACATCATTCTGGTATGATGTTTTTCATTTGGGGAGACGGTGCCCAGAAAGGGAATAGCTTGGTCAAATGGGACCTCCAATTCTAGGTTTTTTTGAGGACTCTCCACTAATTTCCATAGTGGTTGCACCAGCCTGCACTCCCACCAACAGTGGAGAAGGGTTCCTTTCCCCCCACAGCCCCTCCAGCATTTGTTACTGGTTGATTTCTTAATACTAGCCATTCTCTCGAGTGACCGGTGCTGTTGAACATTTTTTCACATATTTATTTGCTGTTCATATTTCTTCATCTGAGAAATGCGTGTTCATCTCAGATGCTCATTTTTGGATTGGGTTTTTAAATCTGGGAGGACTGAATTTTTTGAGTTCTTTATACATTCTTGATAATAATCCTTTATCTGAGGAACGGCTGGCAAACATCTACCACGTTGTGGGTTCTGTCTTCACTTTTGTTGATGATTTCTCTTGCTGTGCAAAACTTGTCAGTAGGATGCGATCCCATTTGTTGATTCTTGTGATAAGTTCTGTGTACTCTGGGTTTTATTCATAAAGTCTTTGCCTACACCAGTGTCTTCAAGAGTTTTACCTACTCCAGCAGATTTAATGTTTCTGTTTTGATATTAAGATCTTTAATCTATTCTGATTTTAGCTTAGTATATGGTAAAAGATGTGGGTCCAGTTTTAATCTTTGACATGTGAAAAGCCAGTGTTTCCAATACCATTAATTAAAGAGGCTGTCTTTCTTCCAGGGAATATGTTTGGTACCTTTGTCAAAGGTAAGGTAGCTTAGTGTGTCTGCAGTTATTTCTGCATCTTCTAATCTATTCCATTGATCTTTAGGTCCATTTTTGCCAGTACCACACTGTTTTTACCACAGTAGCTTTATAGTATAATTTTGATTCAAGGATTGTGATGCCTCCTGTCTTGTTTTTCTTGCCGAGGATTGCCTTTGCTATTCTAGATCTCTTCTGATTCCAAATAAATTTTAGGACTGTGATATATGCTATTGGAATTTTGATTGGGATTGCATTGAATCTGTATGACAGTTTTGGAGATAGGGCCTTTTTCACCATATTGGTTCTTCCTGCCCAAAGAGCATGGATGTCTCTCCATTTTCTAATATCCTCTTCAATCTCCTTTTTCAGAGTACTGTAAGCTCTTTTACATCTTTCATTAGATTGATCCCTAAGTATTTCATTTTTTGGATGCTATTATAAAATGTATTATTTCCCTGATATCTCTCTCAGTGAGTTTGTTATTTATATGTAAGAAGGCTATTGATTTTTGAGTGTTTACAACCAGTTACACTAGTAAATTTTCTCATTAAATCTAAAAGTCTTTTTGGGGGCGTTTTTAGGGTCTTCTAAGCAGAGTATCGTGTCATCTGCAAATAATAATAATTTAGCTTCTTCCTTTCCTATCTTTGTTCCTTTTATTTTTTTTCTCTTGTCTAGTTGCTCTGGCTAAAGGTTTCAGGACTATGTTAAATAAGAATGGAGACAGTGGACATCCTTGTCTTGTTCCTGATTTTAGAATAAAATCTTTCAGTTTTTGTACATTTAGTATGATGCTGTTGGTTAGTCATAAATAGTTTTTATCAGATTGAAATAAAGACCATGTATTCCAATTTTCTGTAGGATTTTCATCATGAAAAGGTCGTGGACATTGTCAAAGCTTTTTCTGCATCTATTGAGATTATCATATGGTATTGTACTTGGCTCTGTTAATATTATGTGCTTTTTTATTTTTTTTAATTTTTATTTTAAAGGGAATAAAATTAAGCACAACAAAACAGGACATAAGAAAGCAATGTAGGGGCTGGGGATTTAGCTCAGCGGCATAAGCGCCTGCCTTGCAAGCAGGCAGTCGTGAGTTCGATCCCCGGTACTGATAAAAAAAAAAACAAAAACAGAAAGCAATGTAACAGATATAAATTTCAAAGCTAGACAACCTGAGATCTTCACTGTCTATCATATTATCCCTTGTTTTCTTCCAAATAGTTGTCCATGTCTTCGCATACAGAGAATTCATACAAAACAACATAGTATAAAACTGATCTGAACAGAATGAGGAAGATGTTTTAGGTCTCCAAAACCAGACAACAGGGAAGTCACTAGTGGCTGTCATAGAGTCTCTCATTCTCTTCAAAACAGCTATCCACACTTTCATGCATATTGGAGTCCAACAAAAAAAAAAAAAAAAAACAGGCAGTGGGGGAGGGGTTGCTTGGTTTCCTGGCGCTCCAGATCCTGGCATGGCGCAGGTCCCAGTGAACGCTGGTGACTCCTGTCCTGGCCACAGGAGCCTGCCACGCTTACAGCTGCTCACAGGGGTGGGGGGGGGTTGCTTTAAGCTGTTTCTTTCTAATGAATTGACCATTTATTTCACTGCCTAAGTTCTGAAATGGCCAACAGATCATAGAAAGACATCTCTTTAGGCTCCTGCTTGAAATCAACAACATCAGGAAGCTGCCAGCCTTAATTCAGGGCCAGAAATATTATGTATTACATTTATGGATTTATGTGTGTTGAACCATCCCTGCATCCCTGGAATGAATCCTATTTATCAGGATGTGCAATCTTGATGATTTGCTGCAATCTACACGCCAATATTGAGGATTTTTGCATCAATGTTAATTAGGGAGATTGGCCTATAATTCTCTTTCTTAGCTGGGTCTTTCTCTAGTTTGTTTTTTGGGGTTTTTATTTGTTTTTGGGTTTTTTTGTTGTTGTTGTTGTTGTTGTTGTTTTGTTTGTACTGAGGATTGAACTCACGACCTTGTGCTTGCCAGGCAGGCACTTATGCCCCTGAGCTAAATCCTCAGCTCTTCTCTAGTTTTGAATTCAGAATAATGCTTGCTTCCAGGAATGAATTTGGGAGTATCGCTTCCCTTCCCATTTCATTAGAGAGTTTGAGAAGTAATGATGTTAGGTCTTCACTAAATTCCTTGTAGAATTCAGCAGTGAATCCATGAGGGCCTGGGTTTTTCTTTGTTGATAGGTTTTTAATTATATCTTTAATTTCATTTATTGATATTGGGTTAGTTAGGATTTTTATGTCTTCTTGATTTAGCTTTAGTACTTCCTGTGTATCTAGAAATCTGTCCATTTCTTCTGCATTTTCCATCTTATTAGAATACAAGTTTTCAAAGTAGGGGAAAAGATTCTCTGGGTTTCTACAGGGTCTCTTGTAATTTCCCCCTTTTCATTCCTAATCGCATAGATCTGAGACTTTTCTTTCCTTTTTTTAATAAGGTTGATCAAGGGTTTGCCAACTTTATTTAATCTTTCAAAGAACCAACTCTTTGATTCACTGATTCTTTGTATTGTTTTTTGTCTCCAGTGTGTGAATCTCTGCTCTGATCCTTATAGTTTCCTCTTTGTAGGAGCTTTTGGCTTAGCCTGCTCTTCTTTTTTGAGAAGTTTAAGGTTCAGCATTGAGTTGTTTATATGCACTTGCTCTCTTTTCCTGTTATGGGCATTTACTGCTATAAATTTCCCTCTCTAGACTGCTTTCATTGTGTCCCACAAGTTCCGTATGTTACACTGTCATTATCATTCAACTGTAAAAACTGTCTCATTTCTTCTTTAATTTCCTCTGAGACTCACTGATTGTTCAGTAGGGTGCTGTTTAATTTCCATGTGCTGATGAAGTTCATGTGGTTTCTCTGCCATGGATTTCCAATTTCATTGCACTGTGGTCTGATAGTATGCACGGGATCATTTCAGTTCCATTACATTTACTTAAGCATGTTCTATGAACCAGTGTATGGTCTGTTTGGAGAATGTCCCGTGTGCAGGTGAGAAGAATGTGTATTCTAATATAGTAGGACAGAACATTACAGACATCGACTGAGTCCATTTGCTCAAAAGCTTGATTTAGTGCTAATATTTCATTATTGATTGTCTAGTTGATGTCTTTTTGTGACAGTGGGGTATTGAGGTCTCCCAATACAATTGTATTAAGGCTTATTTGATTTTTCATGTTCATTAAAAAATGTTTTATATAACTGGGTGCACTGATATTGCTTACATATATATTTATAATTATTATCTCTTCCTCTTGGATTGTTCTGTCAGGATGTAGTGACCTTCTTTATCTCTCTTAATCAGTCATGGCTTGAAATTCACTTTATCTGCAAATAGAATAGCAAGTTCTGCTTTTTTTCTGGATTCCTATCGCATGGAGTATTATTTTCCATCCTTTAACTTTCAGTCCATTAGTTTCTCTTTAGATTAAATGTGTTTCTTATATGCAGCATATTGTTGGAACTTGCTTCTTGATCCACTCTGCCAGTCTGTGTCTTTTGACTGGTGAATTGAGACCATTAACATCGAGGGTTGTAACTGCAAAGTGTTGGCTTAGCCTTGTCATATTATTTTCCTATTATTGGTCCCCCCCCCTTTTTTTTTCTTTTTCCCTTCTAATTGTTTGCCCCTCCTGGTGGGTTCCTTCTGTTGGGGTTCATGGAGCTGGAGCCCTTATTATCTCTTTCTGGAGTGTCCTTCAGAACATTTTGGGGTGCTGGTTTTCTGGTGGTAAATTTCCTCAGATGTTCTTTGTCATGGAAGTATCTTATTTCTCCAGCAAGTCTGAAAGATAGTTTTGTAGGGCACATCAGTCTGTATTGAAAGTTGTTTTCCTTTGGAACTTGGAGTACTTCACTCTAAGTTCTCCTTGACTTGAGTGTTTGTGCTGAGAAGTCAGCTGTGGTTCTGATGGGCTTTCCCTTATAAGTGATTTGTTTCTTTTCCCTAACAGCTTTTAAAATTCTATTCTTGTCTTGACTTTCTGGAATCTTGACTATGATGTGCATGGACAGAGTTTTTTTTATCACTGCTAATTGGAGTTCTATATGTCTCACATATTTGTATGTCAAATTCGTCTTTAGCAGGCAAGTTTTCTGTCACAATGTCTGTGAACATGTTGGTGTTTTTTTGGTTTTTTGGTTGGTTTGGTTTGTTATGGTACCAGGGATTGAACTCATGACCTCACGCTTGCTTGCCAGGCAGGCACTTATGCCACTGAGCCAAACCCCAGCCCTGTGAACGTGTTTTTAATGTCACTTGTGATATCTCCTGCTTGTTCATTGACTCCAGATAATCTGAAGTTATTCTTCTTGGCCTCATGTAGCAGCTGCTGGGTTGATTTCTCACGTCCCCTTGCTAGTTTTGAGAAATCTTTCTTTTCCTGGTCACTAACTGCAAGCCTGTCTTCAATACCGGAGATCCTGTCCTCACAGGGGCTAATCTGCTTTGAACACATTCAGTCGAGTTTTTGTTCTCCTGGATGTCTGCTTGAATCTGCTTTATGGATTCCATTTGTTTCCTATACTGAGCTTCCATAATTTGCCTCAGCTCGTCTATTTTTTTGTCTGTGTCTGCTCTGACATCACTGAGCAGGGTGTGCATTTTGATAACCGCTGTAGTTATTTGAGAGGTTACTTCTGATTTCATTTTTCCAGAGCCTCATGCAATTGCTTTGTTACCACTTTGGAACAACCTGGTAGGTTCAGCTTTTCCAGCCTTAGCGCCCCCGGGCTTGCCGCTGGTGAACTGGGGTCTGAGGTTCTGTCTTGTTTACATGTCTTCCCGTATCTCTTCAGTGGAATGTAAAACAATTACGTACAACATATTAGAGATAATATATCAGTTCTGTCCTCAAGGGCTAAGATTCAAATGGACTGAGGAGAAAACAGAAAAGTGGGGAAAGAGAAAGAGATTACAAGTAGGACAAAGGTGGAGGACAAAGATGGAGCCCCCCAACTTGGGAAACTGACGCAGAAGACTGAGGGAAAAGAGAGGTGGGAGAGAGAAATGGAAGAACAGAACAGAACCCTACCCACAAGGAGGCTCGGAACCACACTCACACTCAGAAAGAAAACAAGGAAAAACAACCTGAATAAAACAAACAAGGAAAGAAGAAAAGAAAAACAACAAAACAAAAAAGGAAAAAAACTAATCCCCCTCCAGGATTCTCTCTGGGTTCACTAGTAGACAGCCTGTTTTCCTTTTTGCTCTCTGTGGGTTCGCTTCAGACTTCAGACTCTCCCGAGGTCCAGGGGACCGCTGCGTCCCTTCCTTTCTTCCTCAGGATGGGGTATTCCCGCGGCTGCTGTGTCTCTGAGAGCCGCTTAGTACCCCACTTCTCTGCCTTTTCTCATGAGGGCACTAACCACACTCGGGGCCCCACCCTCAAGACCTCGCCGCACCCCACCAGCTCTCTAATGCAGATCCACAGGGGCGCGGGGCTTCAACAGCAAGTTTTGCCCAAATACGAAAGCAGAGCTGCCTGTGTCCTTTGCTTTTGCAGTGACCTGAGCTGCAGGAACATCCCGCCCACACCATGTCCCAGCCCAGTCAGCCAGGAGCAGCGCAGCACCCCTCTGGAAGGCAGGTGGGTGGCTCCTCTGCCCCTCGCAGCTGTGACAGGCCCTGCCTCGGCAGAGGGGGCCCGGAAGTCACCCACCTGCTCCCTGTACAACCTGAGGCTCCCTGTCCTGTCACCTCACAGGCAGAGCCCAAGGCTGGCCTCGCCCTGGTCCCCGGGACCCCCAGAACCTCACACCTCCGACCTGCCCACCTCAGGCTGGGCATCTTCTCCCAGGCCCTGGCACCTCGGCCTGCAGCGTCACTTTGCAGGAAGCCTTGAGAGGAGCCACACCTGGGCAGGTCCCACCAGCCACCAGCCTGGCTGCAGATGCTGTGGCCCAGAGCCTGGCTCGAACGGCCCACTTCGGGCTGAGCGGAGTTGCTCAGGCCCCTGGCCAGGGTGCTCTCTGTACCCTCGGGCTGGAATCACCCACCCGTCTGCAGACCCTGGAGCCCCGGCTCCTGGAGCTGCCCAGGCAGACCCAGGGCAGAGGGCAACTGTGAGGACTGGGGCGCAGCCTCTGCCCAAGGAATCACAGAAAGAAGGGAGACAGGCAGGTGCAGATCACTTGTCCCCGCACCAGGAGTGTGAGGCCCGGGGCGCGGCCTGCCCTGACTCTTCAGGGGACAGCACAGGATGCAGACATCCTCCCTCCAGGTGGGAACTTCCTGCCAGCCCCAGCAGGCACTTCCGCTAGCAAATCTCACTGACCACGCGGAGCCGCAAAGGAGGCTGGGAGGTGTGAGATTTTGCAGTGGTGGCAATTTAGCTAAACTTGATTCTGTTAGGGATAGACGAAATCGCTGTCTCTGCCTTGGGAACAGAAAGGGCAGGGGACAAGACACAGAGGACCTGGGATGTCCAGGGACAGGTTTTGCATTTTGTTTAACAGATATAAGCTGGGTGTGGTGGTGCATGCCTGTAATCCCAGCACCAGGGAGGCTGAGGCAGGAGGATCACCATAAATTTGAGGCCAGTCTGGGTTACATAATCGAGTTCGAGGCCTGCAGGCTACACTACATAGCAAGACCCTGTCTCAAAAGGGTTAAAGGCAGGCATGCCAGGGCCCAGCCAGTGTGACCAGAGGGCCCAGCCTTGTGACCAGAGGGTCAGTGTGGCTGGACACGGGGAGGGAGAAAGGAGGAGCCCAGCCGTGTAGTGCTGTGAGGCTTCCTGACCGACGGAAGCCAGGAAACTGGAAACGTGCTCTGGAAAGGTGAGCCCAGTCACAGGTAAGCCTGTCACAGGTAAGGTGTGGTGTGTGCTTGTCCCCAGCACCCCTGAGAGGCCAGTGTCCGTCCCCTTCACTGGAGACAGCCAGACGGACTCCGACATCCTGGCGTTCATCAGGGCCAGGCAGAGCATCCTACAGAGGAAAGGTGAGTGCAGCTCCCCCGGGGCTCTGCTCCGCTCGCCAGCACTGAAGGGAGGCCGTGGGGACGGAGCCGCAGTGGGGCAGAGGGCAGCGGACTGACTTCGGTCACCTCGCTGGGGTGAGGCCTCCGCTTCCCCCAGAGGTGGGGTCAGAAGCACCGAGGCAGCGCAGACGGCGGCCGGGGTGATCCAGCTGCACTCCCAGAGCCCCGTCCTCTGCCCGACACTGTCCCTCCGGCTTCTGTGGTCTCCCATCCCTGAAGACCTCGTCCAAACAGGAAGGGCCTCATGATGGCACAGTGATCTGTTGCCTGGCCAGCTAGAAAGCCCCTCTCCGCCAGAGCGTGGGTCCTGCCACCCAAAGACCAGCCTGTGACACCGTATCAGTCACGGAGGAAGCAAGGAAGAGAGACCTTTCGTGGCCCCCGTCTTGTACGGCCCATCACCTCCCCTCAATAGCTGACTGTCTGACCCGAGTGCTCGGGGAAGAAGTGGACTTCAGATCGCAGAGCTGAATCCTGGGGTGCGGTCTGAGGTTCAGACAGTGGGGATCAAGTGTGGGGGGAGCACAACCTCAGAACGGACCTCCATCATCCTCATGGATAGCAGCCTGCCCTGGGGAACTCCAGCCCCTGCCTCTTCTCTCCGACAGCTTGACTTGTCTCAGTTTCCTGGTCTCAAAGGGGAAGGAGGGAAAGCTGGATTTGGGGAACTCCAAGTCCCCGTTATGCCCCAATACCAGATGACCCATAGCAGGCCCTGAATGGCATTGAACGGGCAGTCAAGGAACACTGGATTTATTATAAGGGCACAGTGCAGGTGGGGGCATCTCCACAGAAGACGGCCTGCCGTACACCACAGCCCGATAGCAACAATGGAGCAGCCCTAGCAGAGAAAGCCGAAGCACAACGCCCCAGTGACTGGAGGGAGGCGGAGAGTGAGGGAGCAAGGGCCAGATCCCAGCAGCTGCTTGGGCACGGTGTGGCAGTGGGCACCTGCAGAGAAGGTGACAGAGGTGACAGGTTCTGCTTGTGCTTCAGGAAGCTTGCTGTGGCCATCAAGGTGTAGATGGCCCGGACCAAGAGCAGACCAGTGTCAGGCGATGGCTGGGAAAGGACCAGGGAGGGCAGCAAGGGAAAAACCAGAGCCGAGGCACCTCCCGGGAGGCGGATGTGAGCTGCTGAGAGGATACGGGGCCTCTCAGGACCTGAGAAAGCCAAGGAGGAGCAGCGTTGTGGGCCAATAGACTGAGAGCCCGAGAAGGAACTAGTCCTGGCTCCCGGAAGCTCCAGTCTTGTGCAAGGGCCCAGGTCCTGGGGCCCCTGAGTCGGTGCTGTGGGGTTGGAGTCTGTCCCAGCTCTGGCACCACCCTCCTCCCCATCCGCAGTGCCCACTACCCTGGCCCAGGCTGCCTGTCACCAGACCTCAGAGTGATGGGCGGCCACACAGCCAGGGTCCCCAGTTCTGTCCCTACTGTCGCACAGTCACACCAAAGGTTGACAGCTGCCCTGGCTAGAACTCAAAGAGCCTGGTTCTCAGGGTCAATCCGCCAGAGACCCCCTCCTCCCAGTCCAGGCCAGTGGGGAGCCCCCTCTTCCCCCCCCCCCAGTGTAATTAAGCCCTGCGGTAGAAATCAAGAAGGCTCTCGGGAGACGGTGCCGGGGCGTCCGTGCCAGCCGGCTGGTAGCACACACAAATGCCCCGTTTCCCCGAGAAAGGAGACATGCAAAGAGCAAAGGATGCAGCGCCTGGGGCCGGGGGCTCCTGGGAGACAGGACACAGGCCCGAGGGCATAGCCAGCAGCCTGCCCTCCTGGCCCGCATCCCACAGGCACAGCCTGACAGCACCCATCTCCTTGCAGGCCTGGGAAGCAACTGAACCCAGGGAGAGTCTGGCCACGGCCGTTGCAGGAGTCAGAGCCCATGCCCCATCCCTTCCCTCACTTGAGACTTCACTCAAGACTTTGGATGCGACTCGGGTGCTGGGAGCAGCTGTGAATCTGAATGCTGAGGAGGAGGAGGCCGAGGCTCTTTCGGGATGGTGCCCTGCAGCCTGGGAGGCTGAGCCAGTAGTGCCCTCCATCTCTCCTGTGCTTGCTCGAGCTGCTGGCCACCCCGGGCAATGCCAGGGAGCCGGGGTGGGAGGAAGGGCTTCAGCTCACTGTGGTGGTGCTGGTTCACACAGCCTCAGGATGCGATTCGGGTGATAATCAGCGACCGTCAGCCACTAACCTCACACTGCCCGCCACCCCCCTGGGGAAGGCAGGGCATCAGAGCCTGTTCAGACAGGGAAGCATGGAGCACTGAGAGGCCAAGCTCGATCTCCCAGCCCAGCCTCCACCATCCCTCGCCTGGCCTGGGTGGTCTGGGCTGCAGCAGCTCTGAGCCTGCCGTGTCCCCAGAAGCCAGGCTCCCTACAGCATCTTGGGACACCGCAGCAGCAGGGGACCGCAGGGAGCTCCCAACAGCTCTGCAGAAACAGGCAGCATGGCACCTCGGGCCTCAGGCTCTGCAGGGCAGGATCCCGGAGTCTCCATCCCCACAGGGAACAGCGCTGCCCATGGTGCCATCTCAGGGAGCCTCTCAACCCACAGGCACCAGCTCGGGGAGTCAGGGACTCAGGTCCAGGCGGTGGACACTGAACCTCCAGGGGGCCCTGAGCAACCGCTTCGGGCATCAAGGCATTGGGGGTCCCCAGCGGCAGTTGGAATATGGCATGGAGGGTGGAGATTGTGACCCTGGACACGAGGGCAGCTGAATAAAAGCACCCGTGCTGAGCTCCCAGCATCCACCCTGAAACACAGAACCTGGTGGCCGCAGAGGCAGAGCTGAGAGCGTGGAGAGTGCAGGGTGAGAGGATCGAGCAGGAGGATCAAAGCTGGGTGGGCCGGCAAGCTCCTCTGATCCACAGCCCAGTTTACAGAACAGGGCAAACAGGGCGCCTGGTTTGCTGTTCCCAGCTGGTTAAGAGGCCTACGTTGCCTCCCAGGGGCCGCTGCTGACGGCCAGCTGGAGTAGCCCCGGCCACTCACTCTCCGTCAGCTCTGGCGCTGCCTGGTGTTTGTTTCTCCTCCTGCTGCTTTGGCCACACAGCCTCTCCTGCCCTGCCAGACTGAAAGCCGTGACACCGGGACACGCTTGTCTGAGTCACTGCTGTGTCCCCTGTCCTGAGTAAACAGCCCCTCAATCCAGGAGCGCCAGATCCTGCTTCGAGGCAGGGCTCGATCCTTGGATCCCCTCAGGCACAGAGACCATGACCTAGGCAGCAGTGGGGGAGCACGCCCCTCACAGTTCTGTGCACACAATAGGTTCTCGGAGGGGGTGTGGGCAGGGAAATCAGCCAGCCCCTGACAGGAGGCCCCCCAGATGCACAGGCATGCACACGCCCCCAGATGTACACACAGGGATCCTGACAGTGGCATGGAGTGTTCCAGAATACCTCATGACTCCACGCCTGTGTCCCTGGTGCCCGTGGTCCTCTGGAGCTGGCCGGCCCAGTGACCGTGGTCTCCCATCAAGGCCTTATCTCCTGGGTCCAGGCCCCATCGGCAGATGTGTGCGCGGCCCCACGTGGCCTCCTGGAGCAGTCGATAAGGTAGGAGAGGAAGTGAGAACAGGAAACGGGGACAATGTTCCATCAGGGTTGAGCCCCGCTGCCCAGCGCGGCCACCTGCTCACCAAGCACCCCGAACCGATGCTCCCCTCCTGCTGCTCCCCTCCTGCTCCTCTCCCCGCTCCCCTGCCGGGCGTCCTGGGCCTCTGCCCAGCTGATCGCATCACACTGTGTCCAGATCTGCTCTGCGGGCCCCTGAGTAGGCCGAGGCGTGTGGTCCCAAGTGGGGTGTGGAGCTCTGGAAGTCAGGCACCAAGCCGGGAAAGTGGAGCAGCCCCCACGTCACCAGGGCCCCCTTAACTGTGCTGCAGACTAGGGCTCCGGGGAACACCACATGTGAGGAAGGACGCCTGCTTTCTCCCAAAACACGCGCACTTGCATGCACACACACGCTCACACAGCAGCAGGGTCCCGAGCTGGGCCAGCGCCAGGGCTGTGGGCCTGCGGGGCTCCCCGAGCTCCGAACAAACACGCCCTCAGCTCCCACCTCCCACGTGCTCGAGGCTGCTCAGAGCAGGCCCAGCCTCCCCGGACCTGCGTTCTGGTCACCACAGTGGACAAAGACCCATATGAGCCTGTGCCACCCCATCTCCACCTGACACCCCACCTCTGCCCAGGACTCGCAGCTTCAGCCATGGGGCTGCAGGATGGGCGAAGCTGGGGCTGCTCCTGTCACCTGCGCTTTCCCTGACAAAGCAGAACCGAGCCAGGGGGGCCTCAGTTGCCCTCTGGGCTCCGGGTGGGCCAGGGTCCCTCTGCCCTGGAGAGTGACCCGTGAGCAGAGGCCGAGTCCCCGTCAGCGGGGCCCTTTCCCTGTGTCCGCCCCAGCCGCTCTGTTTACCCTGCGTGCTGGCCCACTGCGCCCCACATCGATCCTACTCGGCTGCCCTTCTTTCCCTCCAATCTCCCTGTTAGTTCAGCCCCAGAAACCCCTTATCACCGCCGGATGCCGGGCCTTGGCCGCCTGGCCTAATAGACTCCCCATAAATTGATTTGCCCTGCCCCAGCGAAACTGAGTTGGCCCTGCCCGTCAGCAGCAGTGATTCCTGGAAGGGACCATAAATCACACTGTGTGTCCCCAGGGAGCGCAGGTCCTGCACTGGGGACACTGGATTGGTGTGGAGGAGTCCAGGAGGGAGGAAGCCAGGGAGAGGGCTCTGTGGACCTCAGGAGCTGACCTCTCCCAGGTCCTGTCTTGGGGTGGCCACAGGGCCCCAGAGGTTCCCCCAACACTGGACACACTACTGGGAAAGATGCTGTCCTGCACCCTAGTGGAGGTCAGCCTTGCGGGCTCTGAGGATCTGAGGAGAAGGAGAGAGAGAACCTCAGGTCTCCTCCCCGGCTGCAGGTGTGTTTCCCGGGCCCAGCTCATCCTCGGTGGCCTCTCTGTGACCTGCCACAGCCGTCCCGCCTGCAGTGCACAGGACAGAGCTGCCCCAGGCCAAGGGAGCCTACTGCCCGGGCCGGCTGGGCTGCACAGCACACTTCTGCACAGGGAATGTGGCAACTCCTCAGAAGTTCAGCATAGGCCAAGGTCCTGACTTCTCCATTCCTGGAACCAAATTTTTTAAAAGTTCAGCACAAAGGGGCCAGAGGGAGCAGCCACCTGCGCCCAGGTAGAGATGGAGAGAGGTGGGAACAGGTGTGCACGTAAGAAGCCACACACGAGTAAGAACCACACACACGCGCATCAGAGCAGGGTCACTCGTGAAGGCAGGAAGTGAAAACCACACCGTCTGCCAACTGGGTGTCCCTCAGGTAAAGCCGAGGGGGCGCGTCCATCCTGTGAAATATTACTTGTCCATGAAATGGAGTTCTCACACAGGTACGTGTGAATGGGACCTGCAGACCCCACGCACAGTGACAGCAGCCAGACGCCCAGGGCTATGTGCTATGTGGTCCTCTCATTGCAGGAAATGTGCCAGGTAGCGGAATCCATGGAGCCAGAGAGCAGATTAGCAGTGGTCACAGGCTGCAGGGGTCTGGCTTGGGACACAGGGTGACAGCTATCGGCTGAGGCTTGTCCTAGACGATGAAAATGGACTGTGGATGTGGTCATACCGCTGTGTGAGGACAGTACAAACCAGAATTGCACACTTAGGTGTGGGAATGGCTGAGCGGGAGAATTCATTCCAGGACCACTCTCGCACACCCCCAGGAGCGGGGAGGGGAAGAGAGAGGCAGCCTCGGTTCCCATGAGCCCTGGTGCTTGTATGCATCTTTCCATCCCAGTGTGTCGCCCCCTGGACCTGATCCGCAGAAAGCCGGTGCCCAGGTTATCAGGGCACCAGCGACGCTGCCCTGAGCTTTCCTGTTTACTCTCCTGATCTGTCACCGTGCTCCTCCTCGGCTCTCAGGCGGCAGCTTGCTGCTCCTGGCTCGTCCTGTAGTCAAGGCAACCGAGGAGACGTCCACTCACACCCTCTGGGGTGGGAAGTCTTCCCAGGTGGGGGCCCAAGCAGAGTGGCGCCAGCAGATTCAGCCCGGGGCCCCCCACCCGTTGTGAGGGCAGAGGGGCCATACATGGGCTGGGGTGCCCCCGGCAGTTCCCATTGAGGGCCCCCGCTGCCTGGGGTGGCCGTGAAGAAAGGCCGGGTGCAGACGCCACCTGTTTGCTCTGGGCACTTGATGAGGCCAGGCTGAGCCACTGTTCAAACAGACTCCCGCTCCGGGCCCCTGTGCCTGCTGGGGGGTGCCTGGGCGCCAGCTCCCACCTCTCCCCAAAGCTAGCCCATGGCCCAGGCCTGTCCCCAGAGTGCCATGCCCCGCGCTGGGCTCTGTGGCGGCCGCGTGCTGCCCCTGCTGCTGGCCTACATCTGCTACCTGCTGCTCGGGGCCACCGTCTTCTGGCTGCTGGAGAAGCCAGCGGAGACCGAGTCCAGGGACCAGTTTCAGCTGGAGAAGCTGCACTTCCTGGGGAACTACACGTGCCTGGACCGGTGGGCCCTGGAGCAGTTTCTGCAGGTGCGGGAAGCAGCGGGCGGCCAGGGTGGGCAGATCTGTGACCCCAGGCTGAGGACTTGTGGGAGCAGAGTATGGGGACAGAGCCGGGAGGCCCAGTCCTGGGTTCCGCCCAGGTCTGGACTGGGTCACGGCGAGACCTTGAGCCAGTCACCCAGCCTCGCTGACCCCATGTCCTACCTGTGAGGCGATGGCCGCAGACACTGGCAGCGGGTTAAAGGTGTCCTAAGCTGTCACACACAGCATGGACACGGGCTGAGTGTCTGCATGGTCATCGCTGGCCACGTCCCCTCCCTGCCACTTCCCGACCCCAAGTCCAGGCCATGGCCCCTGCCTTTGTGTGGCCCCAGCTGGGGACGCAGACACAGGTCAGCAGCAGCCCCCATGCTGGCCTTGCTTCTCCAGAGCTGGGCTGTGGGCAGTGGCCCAGGTGACCGAGCTCTGGCTCTGTGCCAAGGGGCTCCCTCTGGTGCCAGCGGAGGCCGCCCCTGTCGGGCTCCTCCTGCGTCCCTCTCTCACAGAAAGAAGCACACAGGTGTGGGAAGGTGACTGCGTGTGAGACCGGGGGAGGGTACATGGGTGACAGCACCCACTGCAGAGGGACAGACCCAGCACAGAGGCCCTGTTACAATGACGGGCGTTGGCTGAGCACTTACAGCGCCCCAACCAGCAAGGAGCAGGGCTCAGAGCACCTCGACCTGCAGCTGTTCCCGCTGCCCTCCCCAGCCTGCAGGTGGGAACTGAGGCCCGGGAGGTGGACAGCCAGCCGGGGTGCAGGTCACTGCCAGAGACGGAACTGCATCCGCTCTGGCCGCAGGGCCCTTGCTGGGCACCACACAAGTTGGCATCCATGCTGGGGACAGTAAAAGGCTGGGCAGGAGGGGCTGGGATTTAGCTCAGCGGCATAAGCGCCTGCCTTGCAAGCAGGCAGTCGTGAGTTCGATCCCTGGTACCGATAAAAACGAAAAAGGAAAAAAATAAAAGGCAGGGCAGGGGCTCTCAAAGCCTCTCCCTGGGCAGCAGCAGCACAGAGCCCGCTGGAGAGCAGCTGTCGCCTCCAGGCCCATGGCCAGGACCTGCAGGTGTCAACACCCGCCAGGTGGCGCTGAGCCCCTTCAGACTGAGAGCAGCCAGCTGTGAGCCTCAGTCCTCCTCCTCCTGGTGGACGGGCAGGCAGGGCTGGAGCCACAGCCCCATGTCAGGGCAGAGGCAGGGAGTGAGGCAAAGCCCTGGAGACCGGAACCTGCTCCTCCCTCAGCCTGGGCCACAGCAGAACCAGAGGCCGGGAGCAGCCAGGCCTGGTCACTGGGCTCCGATCACCCAGCTCTGTGAAAGTGGGCGAGGGCGGCCACAGGCTTGACTGCAGCTGCCAGAGCCTTCCAGGGGGACGGGACATCCCAACCTGAGTCCTTGGCCTCGCAGAGACGCTCACCTGCTGGGGGAGGTCAGGGCGGGAGGCAGGAGAATGCTGGGAAAATAGGGCGGGAGAGTGAAAAGCTGGGCGTGGTGGTGCAGGCCTGCAATCCCAGGACTCGGGAGCTGGGACAGGACCACAGGTTCGAAGTCAGCCCGGACTAACACCCTGAGACCCCGTCTCAAAAAACCAGATCAAACCAAAGCAAAACAACAAAATCACACATTTAAAAAAAAACCAAGACTGTGGTGAATACATGGATATCTCCCCAGCCGTGGACGTCAGCGAACATGTGGACATCTCCCCAGCTGTGGACACCAATGAGCACGTGGACATCTCCCCAGCTGTGGACACCAATGAGCACGTGGACATCTCCCTAGCCATGGACACAGAAGAGCACGAGGCTATCTCCCCAGCTGTGGACACTGGTAAGCACGTTGACATCTCCCTAGCTGTGGACGCCTGTGAGCACGTGGACATCTTCCCAGCTGTGGACGCCTGTGAGCACGTGGACATCTCCCACAGCTGTGGACACCGGTGAGCACGTGGACATCCCAGCTGTGGATGCCTATGAGCACGTGGACATCTCCCCAGCTGTGGACACCGGTGAGCACGTGGACATCTTCTCTAGCTGTGGACGCCAGTGAGCACATGGACATCTCCCCAGCTGTGGACACCTGTGAGCACGAGGACATCTCCCCAGCTGTGGACACCTGTGAGCACGTGGACATCTTCCCAGCTGTGGACACCAATGAGCATGTGGACATCTCCCCAGCTGTGGGCACCCCACAGCTGTGGGCACCAGTGAGCACGTGGACATCTTCCCAGCTGTGGACACAGGTGAGCACGTGGACATCTTCCCAGCTGTGGACACAGGTGCGCACGTGAACATCTCCCACAGCTGTGGACATCTTGGGCACAGAGCCTCCACCCTGCGAAGGGCAGCGTTAGCACGGAGAGGAAGAGGTTTGCCCAGCACAGAGCTAGGTCACCTGCCCCTCTCCACATGCCCTACCACTCAGAGAAGAAACCACCACAGCCCACTCCCACCTGCCCGCCATCTGGCACCGGGGTCAGGGCCTTGCCCCAGCAGGACTTGGGCTCCAAGGACCCAGCGGGGACACCTGGGGCCAGGCCCTGAGCAGGGAGGGCCGTGCTGGGCGGGTCTGGCCATAGCACTCTGGGGTGCAGTCTGCGTCCTAAGAGCCGGGACCTACCAGCCTGGGACACACATCGTAACTGGGACCCCAGACCGTCCCTGTCCCCAGGGCACCACCCTGAGTCAGTGGCTCATGGACCTACGGGACGTGGGACCTACGGGGAGGCCCGAGCTGCCGGCTCCCCTGGTACCAACCTTGAGGGCTGCACTGAGCCACAGTGCTCTGCCGCCCTACGACATCACAGCTACAGGGGACAGGGCTGGGGCAGGGAGGAGGGGACCCCCATTCTCCAAGAGGGCTCAAGGCAGCAAGAATTCAGTTCTGGAAACACACGCAGTCCATCTGCAACACATGCATATGTGAAGCACACGGAACTGGGCACGCAGAGCACCGCACGGGTTCTGCAACTCCGCCCCAACAGGCGCGCGCATGCGCATACAGTCTGTGCGCAGACCCCAGGGAATTTCTCCTGTAGGCGGCGCTGGGCTCACTAGAGGGTGACAAAAAGTACTGCAGCTCCTCCCCTACAAGCTCCCCACCCTCAGGCCTCTGGGAGAGAAGCCCAAGGCCTGTGGGGAGGGAGGAGGGGCAGCCCCCACTATTCCCGACAATCCCTTCTGGGAGGGACACCCAAACCGTAATCTGCTCTCTGTCCTAACACCCATGTGCGTGTCATCCCTTGGCCACAGCCTTGTCTCCACCTGGACTCTCCTCCTGGATCACCTGCCACCCCCAGCCCAGGCGGCCCTGGCCAGGGACACGCGCTGGCCTTGGAGAGTGGCCCTTGGCCACCTGAGCCTTGGGCTCCTGGTCCATTCAATGGGAACGACGCTAAGAGCGCTGCTGGGGGAGTCATGGTGAAATCCAGCTGCCCAGGGCTGGCGCCGCAGCTGCGCAGTAACCATCGCCGGCTTCCACACCCCCACTCCCACCCCTCCTCCACCCCGCAGGTCATCTTGGAAGCCTGGGTGAAAGGCGTGAACCCCCAAGGCAACTCCACCAACCCCAGCAACTGGGACTTCGGCAGCAGCTTCTTCTTTGCGGGCACGGTGGTCACCACCATAGGTAAAGCGCTGCGGGTCGAGGGGGCTCCCGAGGCCCGTCTAGGTTGGGGCTCCCTGGGAGCAGATGCTGGGGAGAGATGGGGTTCAGCCAGGGAGGACTGGGGAAGCACAGGTGGGGAGCGGGCAGGAGAAATGGGAGAGAGGGGAGCAGTCGGGCTGCACAGTGTACCCGCTGGTGGCTGGGCCCACGCCCTTGGGGACCTCTAGGACAGGTAGACCTCCTGGTCTGCCAACTCGGCCCTGGATGCAGAAGTCCTGGAGGGCGACTCTCCAGCATCCTGGACCTGCCTCGGGGACAGGGGGCTGTGAGGCCGGGCAGTAGGCAGATAGTTATCTGTCCCCTAAACTAGCTGGTGGCGTCCCAGGTGTCCCAAGGGGTCTGAACCAGCAGTACCTGCTGCATCCTCAGCCAGAAGCCTGCTCTATGCCCGCAGGAAGCCTCAGACCTACCTGGTGTAAACCAGATGCCCATAAGGTCCACTCCCACACCCCGTCCTGGACACTCAGGCAGCAGAGCAGCAGAATGAGGGGCAGGGGTACAATGTGGGTGGAACCGAGGCTTGGCCCCCACCCGACAGTTTCCTGTCCAAGGAAGAGGGGTCCAGTGAGCCCTCGGAGGGCAGAGCCCCGTGGGGCCTCCCATCCAGCAGCAGGAGGAAGGAAAGGCTGGGAGGGCTTGCGGAAGGAGGAGCAGGATTTCTAGAATAAAGATCTCCAGCAGGGTGGGGTGAGTGCTCAGGGGACCAGGGAGCGCACCCTCCTGCCCCTCCCGGGGTGGAAGACAAACCTCTGCTAGAGTCTGAAGGGCCAGGGTGGGTGTCCTGAACTTTCCCCACCCCAGGATACGGGAACCTGGCGCCCAGCACCAAGGCCGGCCGTGCCTTCTGTGTCTTCTATGCCCTGGTGGGCATCCCGCTCAACGTGGTGTTCCTCAACAGCCTGGGCAGGGGGCTGTGCACCCAACTGGCCACCCCGGAGAAGTGGAAGGAATGGCCCCTGCGCTCCCAGGTAGGGCCTCCCGCCCCTGCAGCCCCAGTTCAGTGGCAGGAGTGAGGCCAGCTTCAGACGGAGACACCCAGGAAGAGAAAAGGCCGTGGAGGGACTGGCAGGGAGGCTGGGTCTCGGTGCAGCCTGGATGAGGTGCAGTCGCTTGGAGCTCTGCAGCCAACATGGCCATTGGAGGTGACTGCAGAGGCCCAGGGGCCAGACTTCACACCTCAGCCTGATGCCAGGCCTGGCCTTTCCAGGAAGGGGTGCCCAAGTACAGCCCTGACTGAGGGCCCAAAGCCCTTGGATGGGGAATCTAGACCTCACATCTCTGTGGTCATCACAGAGCTCCAAGTCCTTTCACATGTCAAAAACAGGCACCAGGTCACCCCACCCAGGGACCAGAACCCTCAGAGGATAGGTGTAACAGGACCTGGGACAGCTCAGTAACTTCCAGTCCCAGATCCAAGTCCCCAAGCTCAAGTATGACCCTCCTAGACCCACGAATGTACCCTCTGCCTGTTGAGGCTCCCTTGCCTGGGCAGGTCACACACCATGGATGCAGGCCCCACCCCGAGGTCTGCAGGGGGTGTGTGCCCCTGTGTGGCCCAGGGCTGCCTCCACCCGCAGCCTCCAGTGTGGACTCAGGGCTGCTCCCCTCCCAGCTCCTGCAGGTCCTGGGCCTGGGCCTGGGCCTGACCCTGGGGTCCCTGGCCATCCTCGTCTTCCCGCCCATGGCCTTCAGCCACGTGGAGGGCTGGAGCCTCAGCGAGGGCTTGTACTTCACCTTCATCACTCTCAGCACCATCGGCTTCGGGGACTACGTTGTGGGTGAGGGGACCAGCACGGGTCTCGGGGTGGGGGCCCACTGGGATTCGGGGGTGTGGGGAGGGCAGTGGGGGATGTTTCTAGGCCACAGCGGCTCTCAGTGGCCTAGAGTCTCTGGCCGGGGCCCATCATCCTTTCCCCAGGGGCCCCCCGCAGAACCTGGAGGTGGCTGTGCCCTCAGACGCCTGCCGTCCCTCCCATGGCAGGCAGGGACCCCAGCAAGCTCTATGTCTCGGAGTACCGGAGTCTGGCCGCCCTCTGGATCCTCCTGGCCCTGGCATGGCTGGCGCTGCTCTTCTCCCTGGGCCCCGTGCTTCTGCACAGGTGCTCAAGACTCTGGCTGCTGGTCAGGGGCCGTGGCCTCCAGGAAGGGCCAGCCCCTGACCCCGCAGAGCTCCCCAGGCCTCCGAAGAGCCCCATCTCTGCATGAGGCTCTCCACTGGCCCAACAGACCCCCAGCCTCTCCAGCCCAGGCCATCTGCCCTTGGGGTTTCCCCCTCCCAACTACCTGCTCCCCCGCTCCCGGAGCTCTGCAGATGGGGCAGCGGGGAGCTGCAGGGACAGGGTCAGGCCAGGCGTGGTTTGACCTGCACCTGCTCCCAGAGTCCCTGCCCTCAGAAGTGACATGGAAAAGTCACCGGGACTGGATCCCTGTGGCCAGAGCCCCCTCCCCCACCCGGCACCTTAGACAGACAAAGGTGGTGGTTGCTGTCTTGCTGTCGAGGTGCACAGCATGCATCTGCCAAGACCCCCTATGTGCCAGGTGCAGTGCCAGGTCTGGGGATGCAGTGGGGCGCATCCTGTCCTCCATGAGCCTGCAGAGGGCAGTGGGACCCAGACAAAGCACCTTGGCAGCCTAGAGGGGCCTGTGCCTCAGTTACTCTGCTCCCATCACTGAGACAAAGTACTCAACACCCAAAATTAAAAAGGCAAAGCGTTGGTTATTCAACTCACAGTTTGTGGAGGTTTCAGTTTATAATCTGCTGGGTCCAAAGCAGGGTGGCTCATGGCACAGGGCTACAGTTCATGGTGACACAAAGCAGCAAAAGCAACCACAGCAAAAAGGGAGAAGGAACAAGCAAGCCTCTTCCCTTCCCTTCCATCATATGTGGGCTCCCGGCCCTAGGACACACCCATGTGCCCCACTCACACCCATGATCCCAGCACTAGACAATGAATGCATCACAAACTAGATGTCCGCACCATGACTACATGAGGCTTTGGGAGGACATCCAGACACAAACATTAACAGGCTGGAAGCGAAGACTTGAACAAGAGTCCATGGTAAATGCAGTGCTGAGTCCAGAATCTTCGGACACCAGGAATCTTACCCGGAATCTTCGGACACCAGGGGCTGAGCGTACAGCTGCAGCTTCAGACATGGGGAAGGGCTAAAAGCAGGTGTGGATGAAGGACACAAAGGTCACTGATGGTCCCAAACAAATGTGGCTTGGTTCTGATCCACCTGCTGGCTCCTTAAAGACCGGTCTCTGAGAGCTCACCCTACTTCACCTAGGGAGAAACACTGCCAGGCTAAGAGCTGCTACCCTGACAGAATTTAACCTCTCATTGGCTCTCTGTTGGCATGAGAAGTTACCAAAGGCTGAAGGGAGGGAGAAATGGGAGAGATTACTTAGTTTGTTGGGGGGAAATAAAAATGTCCTTGCATCAGTGATAATGGTTGCATAATTCATGACTGTAAGAAAACTTCAAATAGTGAACTTTATCTTACGTGAATTTTATGCCAGTTTTTAAGAGAAAAAAAGGCTCAAATTTGCTGGTACAGCTGAGCACTTGAGAGGAGACCATACACAGCTCCGCCCAAGAAACATTTCCATGGCCGGCGCAGGCAGCAGAGGCCTCCAACATGCCTCCTCTCCTCCTGATCAGGGCGGGCTCCTCTGCTCAGCAACCTTCTCCCATTGGCTGTGCCCCTGCCACTCTGAGGACAGGGCCTCCCAGGCACTGCAGCAAGGGCAGGCGGAGACAAGCGGTTTTGTTTTTTGTTTTTGTTTTTGTTTTTTTGTGTTTTTTGTAAACTTCCAGTTAGGGATGCAGCCCCACAAGCCTGCTTCTCACATTTCTGCCTTGGAACAGGGCCATGGTTGGAGAGAAAGGACAGCGGCTGGCACTGGGGCGTCTGGCTTGCAGCCCCAGCTTCTGCCCATGTCCTTCCCAGGTAACCCTGGGTCACAGGTGTCTGGACCCAGAGGCGTGGCCCACCCTTCAGGCGGCTCCCGAACAATATTGATACAAAATGCATGACCAGACCAAATGGAGACACAGAGGAGCTTTAGAAGACAATTTTATTACACTAGCAGGCTGATGGGAACCTCAGTTTTCCAATCATTTATGTATGTTTCCAAAAGAAAGTACAAAAAGACAGATAGCATAACATCCTATGGTTACACGTGGCTTTGTCATTTAATTGCTAGGCCGAATTCACTCTCGTATGACACAGAGGAAGAATCCATCATTGTCTGAGACGAGCAGAGATGGCCTTGCAGGGACAACTCCGGGACACGGAAGTCAGTGAAACATTTCTTCCTGGCTGAGTTACACTTAGCTTGCGGTTGGCACCCGGGGTGACAAAGCTGGTTAAGTTTGCAGTTTCTAACCATGCGAACGAGCTGTGTCTCTCAATCTCATCCCTGAAGGGTGTTAGAAATACTCTTAGTATGACATATATATATTTTAAAATTCCTCGACATTAAAATAGCCTCAGAGGCTGGGGATTTAGCTCAGTGACTAAAGCGCTTGCTTGGTAAATGCAAGGTTGTGAGTTCAATGCCTGGTACAAAAAAAAAAAAAAAATCCAAGATAAAAAGCTCCGTGAAAAATCACTGAGGCTGGGGATTTAGCTCAGCAGCATAAGCACCTGCCTGGCAAGCATGAGGTTGTGAGTTCCATTCCCAGTACGAAAAAAAAAAAAAAAAAGCCTCACAAACATACACTACAGGGAGCCAGTCAGCATGGATACTTGCCAAAATAATATGACTCCCCTAAAATGCATTAAAAACTCCAGAAAAGGCTTTGCAAAAGGTTACAAGATAAAAATAAAATCTGATCCTCAAGCTCAGGTACAAAAAGTCACCCAGCCCAGTTCCCCTACATCGGTTTTTTTGTTTTGTTTTGTTTTGTTTTGTTGCACAGGGGATTCACCTCGAAATTGCCAGGCAAGCACTTAGACCACTGAGCTAAATCCCAGGACCCCCTACAACGTTTCTTAAATCTATGCCAAAATCATATGGCAAAGCTCTGTCTCACGACCCCATCCTCAAGGGCACTGCTCTCCCCTCCAGCAGCCCCTATGGCAGTTGGCCTCTCCAAAGGTGGAAAGTTCTGGAAGCACTAGGTAGGCGGAGTGGGGCGGAATCATAGCTTCTGATTGGCTGCAGGGGTGTGCGTGGCAGGCGGGAGCAGGGCCTCTGATTGGCGGCGGGTGGACGTGTCGATGTGGGCGTGGCTAACGTCCAAGGCGCCCTGGGCGGTTATTCTTGTGTCATTCTCACCTTGATGCCCCAACGTGATACACCCCTCCCTGGGCGCCAGGAGATGGGGCGACCTAGAAAGCATGGCCACCACCCGCATCGCTCCTGGGACATCCGTGGAGCAGCGCGGTGCCCTCGGAGGCCGGGCCCTGCTGTCACGGCGTCTTAATCTGTGTTCCCCAGAGGCTCATGAGACAAGGTGGGGCAGGTCACGGGCCCTCCTCGCGGGCAGCGCGGGGCCGAGGGCTGCGCCTCACGCCTGTCGTTTCTGCCCCGCAGCTGCTGCCCGCCCGTAGCTCGCCGTCGCACTGCGTGGAGGCCCGGAAGCTGCCGTCTGCGGAGGCTCCGTGCGGCGCCTCCACGGTCCCCCCAGCCCCCGCTCCTCTCCACGCTGAGGCCTCGCCATTTACCATCAGCTTGGAAACCGGGCCCTTCGTGAGGCGCTTGCTGCCTTTCCTGTTCCTTCGGGCTCCGCGCGGCCTTCACCAAGGAGGTCAGCGGGTGGGAGCCCGGCCGGCCACCCCGGCTCCCCCGCGTGGCGCCCCTCCCCAGCGCTGCTGCAGCCGGGCTGAATAAAGGCTGCTCCGCGACCCGCGCCGTGAGGCCGTGCTGATTCCGCCGGTGCGGGGCGCCGAGGGTGGTGGACACTGGGGGGGGGGGGGCGCCGAGGGCGTCACCCGCCAAATGCGAGATCCTCCTGACCCTGGTGCTGGGGAAATGGTGGTGCACAGGGAGGCCCTGGAACCTGCAGTTTGTATGTTTATAACTTTGTTCTTCTGCCTTTGAGGAGAAAGGGAGACCGAGAAACCGACTGCCAGCGGGAGGCATGGTGCCCAGCTGCAGGCCTGCAGGGGTGCGACTCACTCGCACGTCACGGTGGGGGCGGGGGCGGAAGTCGGAGCGGAGCACTCCCGGGCCACAGAGTGTCCCTGTGGCCCCTTCCCCCTCTCCTCCTCCGGCTTTTCCCTGTGTCAGGACACCAGAGCTGAGGGAGACAGCAAGGACACCCCAGCCCCCTAGGCTGGGTCTCTGCTGTGCTTTCTGCCCCAGTGATGGGCACGGAGGAGCTAAGAGGTGTCTTGGAGGGCGCCGGGGTGGAGCAGGTGTGAGGAGCCATGCAGACTAGGAGCCGCCCTCTCCCAGCTCTGAGCTCCTGGAAGCACCGGCTTGAATCCCCTCTGTTCCCTCGCAGGAGGAAAAGCAAGAAGCCGTCTGTAATTAGAAGAGAGCCACAGGGCTGGGGTGCTGAGGACCAGAGGAGGGCTTATTTGGAGACTTCATATCCTGAAGTAGGGCAACGTTAATCCTAACATTGAACTATTAATCCCAGCATCATGCGCCCTAGACCCAGCATCCTGCAAAGAGCCCCACCTGTGACTGCATGAGGTTTTGGGGGGACATCTAGGCCCCAGTCATAACATGTGCCGGGCCCAATGTCAGGCAAGTCTACAGATACCAAAAATGTGAGTGAGGAAGCACCCAAGGCTGCCGCAGATGGCGGGATTCAGAAGCCATGGGCTGTCGCTGGTACCCGCGGCTGAGCTCAGGGCACAGCCTGGATTGTCCCCCAGGGCTTGGGGCATGCAGCTCCCTGACACCTGCCCCACTCATGCTCTGTCACATAGAACTCCAGCCGGCTAAAGCAGAAAACTGAAGGCGACGACATTTGGGGTTCTCTCCTGTCGTATGACAAACAGCCTGAAAACTTGCCGGCTTAACACAATAACCACTTTGTGATTTGCACCCGGTTCTGCCCCGGATGGCGCTGGCCGGGCTCAGGTCACCTCAGCTCTCCGCAGTCTGGGGAGGGCTGGAGCGGCTCAGTGCTGCTCACTCGCCCGAGCCTGGCCGGGATTCTGCCCTGTGCACAGCGCCGGGCTCCTCGGAGTCAGCATGGCGCTGTCAGGAGCCCCTGATCAAAACTGGACGCGGGGCTGTTAGCTTGGAACTCCCCCTGGCGGCCAAATTTTTTATCTAGATTTAAACCGTGATCATGCAAACAAAATTTTTAAACTTCCCCTTTCCATCATTCATTCCATTCTCTAGAGAGATCCGCCGCTACCCTAGGCTTCAAAGCTGCCACTTTTCCCATCCGAGTGAACCGAAGTCTACTGCAGACCCCAGACCTGTGCTGTTAAGAACACGGTCTCGGGGCTGGGGATTTAGCTCAGTGGCATAAGCACCTGCCTTGCAAGCAGGCAGTCGTGAGTTCGATCCCTGGTACCGATAAAAATGAAAAAAATGAAAAGGACAAAAAAAAAAAAAAAAAAAACACGGTCTCCAGGTCCTCCGTCCTCACCTCTAGATCATAGATCTTGACTTTTGGACTATAAATTTTCTTTCATCTGAGACAAGGTCTCACTTGCAGTTCAGGCTGGTCTTGAGCTTACTTTGTAGCCCAGGGTGGTCTTAAACTCACAATGATCCTCCTGCCTCAGCCTCCCCAGTGCTGACCTCTCTAAAAAAAGGCCAGTCCCAACTCCAGTCAAGGAAAACTCACAGGGCAGCCCTGTTAGGGACCCATGGCAGCACCAGGTGACAGGATTCTGTATTGCTTCCTACAGATTCACACTCTACCCCACCCCCAGGCCACTTAGTGCCATCCCTCCACAGCAGGACCAGACTGTCACTGTGCTGGGCAGCAAGCACTATATTTAAAGCCAAAGACTCTGGAGTCAATGCCTGACTCTGGGGGCACTGTACCATGTGCCTTCAGGGAACTTTCCAAACCTTCACAGGGGCCCTGCCTCCTGCAAGGTTCTAGGGGCTGAGGAGAGACTACTTTGGAGGATGCCCTGGGCATGGCTCCACCACTCCTGGAAGGCACACCAGGGCTGGCCTGCCTCAGTTTCCCCAGGAAACCCCAGCCAGGTGGCTGCATCAGTGGGGCTGAGCCACACCACTGCTGTTGTCTTTACCACCAAGCCTCATCTTTTAAATTTTTTTTTTTTTTTTTTTTTTTTTGAGACAGAGTCTCTATGCAGTTCAGGCTGGCCTTGAACTCACTTTGTAGCCCAGGCTGGTCTCTAACCCGCAATGATCCTCCTGCCTCAGCCTCCTGAGTGCTGGGATCACAGGCGTGAGCCACCATGTCCAGCTTCATCTTTTAAATTTTACTGGACTCTTGGTGGTGCTGATTTGTCACCACTGGCTGGTGTCTGGCAGGACTCAGCCTAACTGTCAGCTTGTAGCTCTTCAAGGACAGAGAAGCAGTGACACCTGCATACCTGGAGCTGGGCCTCTAGTCCCAAAGGCCATTTCCGGTTTTGGTGTTTTTGAGAGCTGGATACTGTGGAAGACAACTCTGGTGACTCCCCTTGAATGCAAAACAACTATTGTGACTTTATTTGGAGACTTATTTCCTTACGCTGATATGTAGAGAGCTGGCTATGGTATTTTTTCTTTAATTGGCTCTAAGCATTATAAATATGGCTAGCAAGGGTGCTGATATATAATCTCTAAAGCAAACGTTGGGCGTCAAATATTGTAATCTCAAATACTATGTACAGTCATCTAAGTATTGTAATCCTCTTTTTAGTTTTCCTCACAATCCAAAAAGTTATATTTATGATCCTATTGAGATGTTATTGGTATCCCAGCAAGTTAATTCTAATCTACCACCACCAATGCAACCCATGGCAAAAGTAAAGACACCAAGACATGTTCCACATTAAGGGTAGCCAAGGGGTCCTAAATCCAATCCCCTTGAGGACACTCTGACAAAGGCCCTGATCCTAGGCCTCTCCCCGAATTTATTATCTTGTGAAGAAGGAGGGTGGCTCAAGTGACAGGCTGGTGGGTATTACATGAGCAACTTGAGCTGGCTGGCCAGGTGAAAGAATGGCATCTCTTTTTTATCTTTTGTGTTTTTTTTTATGGGTTTTTTGTTTTTCAGGTTTGGTGCTGAGGACCGAACCCAGGGCTTCCAGCTTGCTAGGCAAGCGTTCTACCACTGAGCCAAATCCCCAGCCCCAAGAATGGCATCTCTGTAAACTGTAGAGACAAGGATATGCAGAAAGATCAATTTACATAATCTAGGGTAACAACAAAATTGTTTTGGGAGGCTGTCTCTTTAGTTTTTGATATGCAAACGCTTGTGCCCTGGGGAGTCACAGCCTCTTTAACTTGAGGCTCTACCCAGTTGATATTTTTAGAGCTTTTGGCTCTAACACCCTGCTGTGCTCATATCTAGGTACAGAGAACACCAGGCCAGAAAACAGGACAGTCTGTTGGCTTTAAAAATTATATATCAGCACCTTGGCTAGCCTTATTTACAATGCTTAGAGCCAATTAAAGAAAAAATACCATAGCCAACTCTCTACATATTGAGATAGCTCGGACCCCAGAGTAAAATCCAAGAAAAGAAGAAATTAAGAAATTGGGAGCAAAGGCTTTATTCCAGGCCTGGCGACGCAGCCTCCTCAGGATCAACCCAGAGACTGCGCGCCTAACAGACTAAGGGAGGGATATTTAAAGCTAAAAAACCGCAAAGCTGTAAAGCTGTTGACTTAGTTCTGATAACATCTGGAACTCTTGGTGCATTCTGTTACTCCCACCCTGCAGTTAAACATTATCTCGGAATAGCACACCTGCAATAACATGTAGAAAAGGGGGGGTAGGGCAGTTACAAGAAGCTGAAACTTAAGCTTTTACAAGAATTAGAAACTTAACCCTATTGAGACGGCACATACAGAGCAAGACGGAGGCGCACTGGTTAGAGTTAGGCCATAACACATTATCAGTATTAAAAAAAAATCTCCAAATAATCAAAGTCACAATAATTCAAAGTCACTAGAGTTGTCTCCCACAGATACTGAATCCAGGGCCACCCCATGCTAGGCAAGCCTGCACCCCAGCCCCCAAATGCCACTTCTTGTTTCTTGAGCCTTTTCCATTGAAAAGTCCTGGTATCCCAGGTATCCAAGAAAGCCAGTATCTACCTGTCTGTCTGTCTGAGACAGGGTCTCACTATGTAACCCAGGCTGCACTTAAACTCACTATGTAGCCCAGGCTGGCCTCGAACTCACAGCAATCCTCCTGCCTCAGCCTTCCAAAAGCTGGGATTATACACACACCACCACGCCTGGCTCTGAAAGCCAGTGTCCCAGTGGCTTGCAACTGCTTCCCTCCTGGATCCTCAGCATGGAAAGTGCACACGGGAAGACTGTGGATACACACACCATCACAGGCCTGGCCAGTGCTCTCAGGACCCACCTTCTCCTTTCTACTCCTATGTGTAGAGCTTCCAGACTGCTGCTCTTGCAGATTAAGATGAAATTTTTCTCAGATGGTCCTACGGGGACTTTGGAGGGAGACTGACTCAGACCATCTCACCTTCCACCAGTAAGTGTGCCCACCGTGGGCTCTGTGCCGTCAGAGCTGGTACACTGTGGCTGCTCGGGGCCCATCTCCTGAGCCCTGGGGTGAAAGCTTGGAGTGGAGCAGACCAGAGGCACCTGAGCATCTGGGGCAGCTTTGAGCCCTGGGAACTCCAGACAGGCACTGAGCAACCACCTGGTTGAACGTGATAGGTCTCCATGGAGCTTGGACTCTTGGCTAGGACCCTGGAGGTCACCAAGTAAACTCAAGGAGCAGGCTGCAGCTGTCAGTGCGCCAACAGGCACCTGTCAGGGAAGCATTTGTTGTTTTGGAAATCAGCAAGAACTACAGATGAGTTGGGCATGGTGGTGCATGCATATAGCACTCTGGGAGGCTGAAGCAAGAAGATCTCAAGTTTGAGCCCAGGATCTCAGTAAGACCCTATCTCAAAAAAAAAAAAAAAAAAAAAAAAGTAATATATAAAGAACTGGGAAGGTAGCTCAGTGTGAAAGCCCTGGATTCAATCACCAGGACCACCAAAAAAAAATTTTATCGAACTTTTTCCTTTTTATCGGGGATCGAACTCACAACTGCCTGCTTGCAAGGCAGGCGCTTATGCCACTGAGCTAAATCCCTAGCCCCCCAAAAATTTTTTTAATGATGATAGAATGTACAATATGATTTCCAAACTTTCCAAAGATTTCTACGGGTTCCCTGAGATAAAACAGCACAGTGGCAGAATCATAGTCAATATAGTTTATCCAAGGCACGATTATTGCTAATCAGGCACCCACTGGCCCTTGGAAGGCTGAGGCAGAAGGATCCTTGTGACTCTGAGGCCAGCCTGGACCACATAGCAAGACCCCATTTAAAAAAAAAAAAATAGGAAAGAAAGAAGGCAGTGCCCAGCTCTCCAGTGTCTTCTATCTGGCCTTCTCAGGTGCTGGGAATCTTCTAGCCCTCTGCTGCTTGCTCTGCCTCTCTGGACAGCCTTTGGTTTGTTCTGGAGCCACACCTGCTGGGCTGGTTTCCTCAGCAACCTTCAATTTAAGTGCTCAGTGTGTGGTTTGCAGATGCAAGTACAGCATGTTTTAAGAAGATCCAGTACACAAATGTCAACATTACCAAAGCAAATTAGGGAGTGGCTGTTTGCCTGACAAATGAACCTTGCAAAACAACTCATTTAAAGCTTTTTAAACACTTTTATAAGTTTAAAACAAAATGCATTTACATAGTTATTAAATACTCTAATATTCAATCAAACAGCCAGTGAAAATCCTTCCCCAGCTACCTAGCCATGATTCCCCCTCCTCATCCCTAAGCCACTTCCCTGAGACAGTCTTGTGTCTTCGCAATCAAACTTTCCATAAACAAACACACCCTTCTCTAATCTTTTTCAAAAATAGCACCCTTGCCTAACATGGCCCTCACTTGTAATCCCAGCACTGGAGGATGAAGCAAGAGGATTGTGGAGAATTCAAGGCCAGCCTGATCTACAAAGTGAGTTCAAGGCCAGCCTAGACTGCACATCAAGACCCTGTCTCAAAAAGACTAATAAACAATAATTTTAGCAAGCAAGCATTTTGGGACAAAATCAGAGGCTTTTATTTTGTATATATTTAAAAGTCTACAGATATACTTTATTGTAATATGGGCAAAACATAGAATCATCTTAACCTAGTTTATTTTTGGTTTGTGGGGAGTTTTTTGGTTTGTTTGTTTTGAGACAAGGTTTCGCTATGCATTTCAGGCTGGCCTGGAACTCCTGGAGACCCTCCTGCCTCAGCCTGCAGAGTGCTGGGGTCACAGGTGTGTAGACGCCTGGTTTAACCTAGTTTTTAAAAAGCAGTAAAAATACATTTTAGTTTCAAAATACCCACAATCTGTTTGTATTTGTGACCTTATACTCACCGCATTTACCCTTAACGTTCACCCATGCAGGCTAGGGGAGCACCTTAACAGTGTGCAGTGGCTGTTTCCTTTGTTCCCTTTCATTTTGTTTTGATACCAGAGATGGAACGCATAGCCCTGACGCTGAGCAGCTGAGCTCTATTCTCATCCTTTGTCACAGCACTGAGGACTGAGGCCTTTTTTTTTAATTTCAAGACAGGGTCTCCCTCAGTTGCTAAACTGCCTAGGGTGGGTTCAAACTCGCCCAGAGCTCTGGAAGATCTGGCGCGCACCACCACATCGCCAGCTTCAACAGTTACCCAAGGTGACGGAGCCCCGCCCCCTCCAGGAAGCTCAGACCTAGACCCCGAGCTTCCGGAAATCCCAGCGCTGGACCGCGCAGTGCGCCTGCGCGTGGCGCCTGCGCCCTTGGCCCCGGCCCCGCCCCTGCCCCCCCAGGCACGGCCCTGCGAAGGGGCGCCCGGAGTTCCAGGCGTCACGCACGCGCACGTATCTCCTGGGCGTGCCTAAGAGACTGCGGGCACGCGCACCCCTGTGACTCAGGCTGTGGACGCAGCCGGCCGAGAGCGCCCGAGACCCAGCCACCGAGCCCGACGCTCCCCTCCGTGTTCCCTGCGTGCGAGCTACTTTAGTTCCGCCTTTCTTACTCCTGGGTGCCTCCCCCTGCGCCCCTGCCCCAGCTGCTAAGCGTTGCCCGCTAGGAAGGAGAAGGCAGAACTCTGGTTCCAGGCAGCTAGACTGGGGCTTGAACTCAGAGCCAGGCGTGTTTTTATCTTCAAATAGAGTTTTGCTGACTTGCCAAACTGTTCGAGCCAGGCTCTAATTTGCAGGCCTCCTGTCTCAGCCTCCCAGAATACGGGTTCCAACTGTGAGTCACCCCACCCAGCTCAATAGTTTCTTAGGTGTGGTGTGAAGCAGGCGAACAAGCCCTGCAGAGGACCAGGAGGCAAACACTGTCTTTAGCAAGATATTTGGCTTTTGTCTCGTGGGTAGCTGCATAGCTAAATGGTATGATTGCTTGGCCAGTTGAATGACAGAGCCAGGCACTGAGTACCTGAGTACAGTGGAGATTCTGCTTGTTTCATGATTGTGCCTCAGCAGTAAGAAAGGAGACTACTTGACAGGCAGTGGATCTTTTATGATCCTAATCGACCCCTTCTCTCCATTTAAATACTCGCTTCCCTTAGCTTTGATACTCTCCTGCTTCTGCTTAACTTTCAGCTTATTGAGATTCCACTTTGATACTTGAGGTTTTTTTATTCCCCTGAGCCAAGAAGTCGGTCTCACAACTACACACACAAATCCTATTTTGATGAATCCCAAATTAAGTTTTCTTGGCAGGCATGGTGGTACACACCTGTAATTCCGGGACTCAAGAGGCTGAGGCAGGAGTGATACAGGGGAATGAAACTCCTGACCTCCTATGTGTCCAGTCCAAGTTCATGTTCCCTAAAATCCAAGAATGAGTTTTAGAAACAACGGAGGTTAAGAGCAGAATATATTTATTAAGAGAAAGAAAGCTTCTGTCTGAGAGAGACAGAAGGGGTCCCAAGCAGGTTGCCAGGGACTCTGTCTTTTCCAGGGACTTTTATAGAGTAAAACCATGAGGTTAGGTGGGTCAAAGGTGGGGAAAAATGGGAACATGCAAGGTGGGCATAAGGTGAGACAGAACTGTGGTCAACCAATAACATTAATTGGCCGGGGATTTAGTTCAGCAGCATAATCGCCTGCCTGGCAAGCAAAAAGTCTTGAGTTTGATCCCTGGGACACACACAAAAAAAGATTAATTGCTCAGGTAAAATTGATTAAATTGGTAACAAATGGGGGAGTGACTCACATATTAATCGGGCATGCTTAACAGCAGAGACTCTTCCTGTAGGGGGTGGGATGCGGACTCCTGACTTCCTCAGGGTGATAGAGAACTATCTGGACTGTGGATCCTTAGCATGTGGTTGTATTTGCTTTGCCTTTTGTCTTGAGAGCTGGCCCTCAGCAGGAGGTGATTGTCTCTCCCAAGGCTGCAAAGTATCTACTCTTCTGCTCTGGCTTCTTTGAGGGCCCAGCTCTGTCTGACTGCCTATAATGTCCCTAAATAACTCAGCTCCCTGTAACAGGAGTATTTCCACAAATTTGATAACAGCATGAGCTATATAGTGAGTTCAAGGCTAGCCTAAACTACACAACAGGATTCTGTCTCAAAAAGATGAAATGAATCAAGAACAAATACCAAATTAATATTTTCAGACCAAAGCCAGGTATGATGATAGTAGCCCTTAATCCCAGCACTCAGGAAGTTGAGGCAGGAGCAGCTCCATTAGGTTTTGTTTATCTATTTATTTTTTTATTTATTTTGGTCTTTTTGAGACAGGGTCTCACTATGCAGTTCACGTTGGCCTTGAGCTCACTTTGTAGCCCAGGCCGGATCACAACGATTGTCCTGCCTCAGCCTCCTGGGTGCTGGGATTACAGGTGTGCACCACCACACCTGGCTTTCCTGTGAGTTTGAGGCCAGTCTGGACTACACAGCAAAACCTTATCTCATAGCCAGGCATGGTGGCTCAAGCCTGTAATCCCAGCACTTGGGAGGATGAGGTAGGAGGATCGTTGTGAGTTCGAGACCAGCCTGGGCTACAAAGTGACCTCAAGGCCAGCCTGAACTGCATAGCGAGACCCTGTCTCAAAAAAGACAAAAAAAAAAAAAAAAAAAAAAAAAAACCCTTATAACAACAAAAACCCCTAAATACATTAAATATTAAATACATGTGCGCAGAGGCTGCCCTCAGTAAGTGCCTCCTCTGGGATCATCTTCACCTCCTCTCTCTGCCCTTCCTCATCCCCCAACATGTTGTTTTGTTTTGTTCAACCAGGTCTATGTAACTGTCTTGGTTACTTTTTTCTCATTGCTGAGACAACATAGCTGATGCCCAAAATTAAAGAAGAAAAACTTTGTTTAGCTCACAGTTTGTGGAGGTTTCAGTCCATAAGCAGCTGGCTCCAAGGTAGGTTAGCAGGGCACAGGGGCAACAGTTCAAGGAGGCAGGAGACAGCAAGAGCAGAAGGGAGGAGGGGAAGGGAGCCTCTTCTCGCCTTACACTGTAACCAGGCTACCTGCCCCCAGGGTGGGCATGGCACTCAGCATGTCTTGCACAGGCTCAGGGTGTTTACAAAGCAAGGACCGTGGTCCCCCAATGAGTTGTTTGGTTAAACTTCTAACCTTCTCAAATTGAGTATCAACCATTACCGTGGCCCAGGCCGACCTGGAACTCTCAGTGATCCTCCTGCCTCAGCCTCCCAAGTGCCTGTACTAGAAGCATGTGCCACCACAACTGGCACCATTCCCATTTCTTGAAATCATCGTCTCCATCTACCGTCTCTATTTCACTTGTTTTTCTCTTTTTGAGACAGGGTCTTCCTATGCAGTCCGGGCTGGCCTAGAGCTCACAGGCTGGTCTTGAACTCACAAGACCTGCTGCCTCAGCCTCCTGCATGCTGTACTGTCCCTGTTTCTACATATTGCATGTATCTCTACCTCCTCCAATTTTGCTTCCCACCCACAGCCTGTTTCAGGAACCCTCAGCGAGGCCGATGCCGTCTGTCTCCATCTAGCTTGTTTTTTCCAGGTCTCCTTCTGGTCTCCTCTGGTACCAGGCAGTCCCTTCTGCTGAGGTCCTCGGTCCCCTGCTGCCCTCTTGCCTAAGTGATTCAGGGTGACTCCTGTAATTGGCAACCCAGGGACTGTGTTTGCTTCCTGCCTTCACAAACACCTCGTTATCTCTAATTCCCCCTCAGGACCCAGCCCAGGGAAAAGGTCCCTGTCCCCCAGAACCAGTCTGTGTGGCTTCCTGGCTTTACCAGAGGTTACAATTAGATGTGCCAGGCTCCCCTTCCACCCCAGCGTCCCCAGAGGTGGCTTCATTTCCAAGGGACCTGGTTGCAGCCCGGCCCAGAGCCCGGCTTTCTACTGCTGGCTTCATCTGCTCTGCCCCCTGGGTGGAAATGGGCCCTGTGAGAGTGGGGTGACCTGAGGGCTGAGATGCAGCCCAGGGGTGCAGCCCTCACCAGGCACAAAGCCTGGCTTCCAGCCCCAGCTCCATGATCAGTCGGTCATGGGATCAATCCAAATGCTGTCGACACTCTGCGGACTGTGGGCCTTTCCAGGCTGTACCAGCATTGCCCGAAGTGGTCACTGCAAAGCACCATGGGAAACAAAGCTGCCAGGTGCTTTGTTTTTTGGTTTATAGGTTTGGTTTCATTTTCGAGACAGTCTTACTGCGTAGTTCAGGTTGGCCTTGGGCTCACTGTCACAGGGTGGCTTCCAATTGGAGGTGACCTCCTGCCTCAGCTTCCCAAGTGCTGGGATTACAGGTGTGCCCCACCACTCTCCGCACTGCACAGCCTCTTTGGAGGCACCAGGCAGATTTTTTTCTCATCGAGGTCCCACCCCAAAATGCCTGCTCCAGGCATGGGGCCACACACAGCCCGGAAGACAGACTCGAGCTTCTGAGGCCTCCACTTCCCCTCCTCCTCCTCAGCCTGGCGCTGGTCCCTTGTGGAGGTGGAGGGGACACGGCATAGCCCTGAGCCTGACATAGACTGGGGCCGCTGGATTCAGGGAAAGGCTGTGGGGAGAGCACATCTTGGGGGTGAGTCATCACTTACTGCTCCCGGAGCCAGGCAGTGCCTCCAAAGGAGACATTAATAAGAGCCAGAGGGGACTCGACCTGAGACCATGGGCAATGGGGCCCAAAGCGTCCCATTGACCCCAGAGAGCAGGGTCGATGCGGCCAGAGGGAGACCAATTCCTTTCTCCAGAGAGCAGGAAGAGCAAAGCCAAGTTGTTAGGGCAGCACACAGATGCTGGGATTGTGGGAGAGCGATGCGGAGGAGCCACTGTAAATATTCACAAAAGCCAGCCGCCGGGCCCCAGGCTTGTTCATTTCCTATGCGAGGCAGCATGGGAACCCCAGGACAAACCGGGGTCCCTGGGCAGCTGTGTCACCATCCTGCTCCCCAGCAGCTCCAGCGCTGTGCTACACCCACTGCTGTTCTCAGGGACAGGAAGTGATTCCTGGGGCCTCTGCCATGGAGATGACCACACTGTGTCCTCCTGCAGGTGACACAGAGCTGGCCACAGCCAGATGGAGTCTGTCCAGCTCCCAGAATTCACCTCAGCCTCCACTTGCCTCTGGCTGGTCATGAAGACAGAAAAGCATTAAGGCTGGGCATGGTGGCGCTCGCCTGTAATCCCAGAACTCAGGAGGCTGAGGCAGGAGGATTGTTGCAAATTTGAGACCACCCTGGGCTGCAAAGTGAGTTCAAGGCCAGCCTGAACTGCATAGCAAGAGCCTGTCTTAAAAAGACAAAAAGAAAGAAAAGTAAAGCATTAAGATGTTTCTTGCCTGTGACCACACGAAGAGGACAGGCGGCCCTGGGCGGTCTGGGCAGATGCCCTGTTGCATGACGCCATGTTCATTTGCCTTTGCTTTCGGGTGTTGCTTATTCTGGCTTCTCTCTGGAGGGAGAGCTAGGAGAAGCCACAGTAATTACCACTCCAGGGAGAGCTGAACTGCAGGCCTGAGGCTGAAATGCACTGACAAAACAATTTTTTTCATATCATGTTCTTATTCCAAAACATCGCTTTAAACTGCTTTGTAACTGAAGGTTTGTTGTTTTTTTGGTATTGATGATGTTGGAAATGATAATCATGTATTGAATGACTTTGCAATGGACATTGGACTAGCTTCTTTGGTTAGGTTATTTTTCTTTTTCTCTTCTAGTCCTGGGGATTGAACTCAGGGGTACTCTGCCACTGAGTTACATCCACAGTGTCTTTTACTTTCAAGACGTAGTAGTTCTTAGTTGTTCAGGCTGGCCATGAATGTTCAATCCTCCTGCCTCAGCCTCCCAAGTACTGGGATGACAGACATCCGTGGCTTCTTAAATTGCATCTTGAGGTTGCCCTGAGGGCAAGCTCTGTTCCCGGAATTTAGGATTTCCAGAGCTCCAGCAGGGATCTTGGAAAGAAGATCCCTCATCCCCAGCTGTGTGAAGAACTCCCTTCTTCTGCCTGGCATTTTTCCAGCCTCTGTGTCTACTTGAGAACCAAATAAGGCAACACCCAGCCAGGCAGGCTGAAATCAGAAAAGGGTGGGGGAGTGAGCACGAGAGCCTCAGGCCCAGGTCTGGTCAGGAGGGAGGGCAACCACCCAGTACTTCATTCCCGGGCAGAGGTGGAAAAACACAACGGGCATCCAGGGACTCCCAAGGCAAGGAAGTTCCGCTTTCCAGCCCTCCGTGATCCCTAGGCTCTAGGACCAGACAGAAGTTCACACCTCATCCTTACCCTTCATACACTGTGTGACCTCCAGCAAGTAACTAACTTCTCTGTGTCCTAGTGTCCATTTGCTGTGAGCATGACTGCTACATCTTATAATGCAGGCATATTCCAGGACAAAAAATACTTGGTAAAAATTACTAAGTAGTAGCCAGGTGTGGTGGCTCATGCCTGTAATCCCAGCACTCGGGAGGCTGAGATGGGAGGATCGATGCGAGTTAGAGACCAGCCTGGGCTACAAAGTGAGCTCAAGGTCAGCCTGAACTGCATGTCGAGACACCATCTCAAAAAAGACCAAAAAAAAAAAGTAAGTAGTGGGCATGAGTTGAGATATGTTTGCAGATGGTGGGTCAGGAAAGTGGAATTACCCAAGAATGCTCAAAAAACTAAACTTCGTAGACATGAGATGTCAGAGGAGGAGAGACCAGATCACTGGCCAGCGGTGATTGGAAACTAACTTCAAATGAAAGTTTAAAGTTAAATCATGGTTCAGGCTTTTGCTTTTGGTTTTTTGAGACAGAATCCTGCTATGTAAGTTCAGGCTGGCCTGCAGTGATTCTCCTGCCTCAGCTTCCCGAGTGCTAGGATTTCAGATGTACACCACACCTGGCATCACTTACTGTTTTCTGTTTTGTTTTAACAGCTAGAATCTCACTACTGAGACCCATGCTGAAGTTGAACTCCTGCACACAAATGATCCTCCTGCCTAAGCCTGGTGAATAGCTGGGACAACAGTACACTAAGCTTTAATAAATTATTATTCTATGTGACCATAATTTCTTGTTCCTTTTTCTTTTTGGGTGACCCTAGGGCAAATGCTAAACATGTACTCTACCACTGAGCTACACTCCCAGGCCCTCACTGTGAACACTTGATGAATGTCTTGTGCGTGCCAGGCTGGCTGAGTGTCCAGGTGGGCAAGGCAGGGGTTTGGGAAGAAACGGGGAGCCAGCCTGTCACTTCTGAATCACTGAATGCAAACGGATTGTTTTTTGTAGTAGTCTTATGTAGCCCAGACTGGTCGTGGACTCACGGAGATCCTCCTGTCTCAGCCTCCTGAGTGCTGAGATTAGTCCCACGACACACATCTGGATCACTTAGACTCCTGCCTCAGTTTCCCAGAGTGCTGTCCAGGAACCCACATATCCCAGATAAAATGTATGTAGACGGCTAGCTTATCTTTCAGCCAAGCAAGCGTGAAGGACTACAAATACTTGTTACTGCTTTTCAGACCTGGTCTTGGCTATGTAGCTCAGGCTGTCCTGGAATTCATGAGGATCCTCCTGCCTCAGCAACCCGCGTGCTGGGATGACCGGCGTGCATGCCTGGCTGATGACTGCTTTTCAGGAGCGCAGAGATACAACTACGTTTTGCACTAAATCAGACTAGGCTGGCAGGGGCTATCCTGGAGTGAGTCTGGGGACAGAGGCCAGACTTCCAGGCGGGCAGTGGAGGCGAGGGCCAGGCTGTGACTCTCCGCACCCATCGCGGCGGCCCTCAAGCTCTGGGACGGGCCCACGTGACACGGCGGCCCCGCCTTAGGTCCCCGCTTTGGACGCCCTCGGAATTGAAGCACCATCGTCCCCGGCAGCTTCCCGTCCACGCTTCCGAATGAGGTGGCCGCGGCAACCGCTCACGTCCCGGGGGTCGAGATTCAGACGAAGCGGGAGAAGCGGGAGCCGCGGGCGCCCGCCAGACACCGCCGAGGACGCCACGCGCGTGATGGCGCGCGCGCCACCCACTGGCCCCGCCCACACCCACCTGATGGAACGTGCGCAGCGCGCTCTTCGCGGCCGCGACTCTCGCAGCGCTCGTAGCCGCACGTCACGGCCTCCGCCGCCTCTCATTGGACGCGCCTTGTCGTCACGTGACATCACTATAGCGAATAAATAGGGGCAAGGAGAAGGCGGTGGTCCGCCATTTCGTGGACGCCGGGCTAAGGAGGGTATCTAGAGGAGCTGAGTTGGAGGAGGAGCGGGACGACCCGTTGGGAGCCTGTGGTTTTGGACGTCCACCTTTCTAACCCCGGATCTCGGTAAGATCCCTGCCATGGCCAGAGGGAAGGGGAACTGAACAGAAGCTGAGGCAGGGCCGGGCTCCATGGCGGCGCCAGAGCGAGACAAAGAGGCGCCGCCGCCATTTTGTGACGTTCCGCACAGGGCGGTGGCGGGGGCGCCCGGGTCGGAGATGGGGGTGCCTGGCCGCGGGGAGGTGGTGTGCCTCCTGGATGAAGGGGTGAGCCCAGGCGAGGAGTCGTCCGAGTTTGGGGAGGAAAGGGGATCTATAACTGGAGTGTGCTCCAGACTGCGGCCTTTGAATTTTTTTTTTTTGGCTCATTTTCTCGGAACTGCTTTTTAAGGTTTTCAGTCGGTAACGAAGACCGGGCATTTCAGTTCATTCTTAAGGGCATTCATCGTTTATTTCTATTTTTTGCTTTCATTTGACTTTGCATCCTGAATCTCCAGCTTTTTTCCTCCTTATAAACGGGCTGAAGTTGAGTTACACTGGTCTTAACGAATAGTCTTTTAAAAAGTGTTTTTAATCCCGTTTTATTTTAAACGGCATTCACTTTTTTTTTTTTTTTTTTTTTTTTTTTTGGTCTTTTTGAGACGGGGGTCTCGCTATAAAGTTCAGGTTGGTCTCAACTCCAAACGATCCTCCTGCCTCAGCCTCCCGAGTGCTGGGATTACAGGCGTGAGCCACCACGCCCAGCCTGGGATTCACTTTTAATTCCCGTCGCCCTCGATGGGATTTTTTTTTAGTTAGACCAGTCGAGGGTGAGGAAGAACGTGGTGATTTTTTTGTTTTTCTGCGTAAACGGACGAGGTAACTGGGTTCGCTGCCAAAATGACTAGTATTTGGGTGGTTTTTATTTATTAGATACAAGGTCTAGTTACAGTTGGCCTTAAACTCGTTATGTGGCTCAGGCTGGCTTCCAACTCGCGACAGTCCCCCTGCCTTAGCCTCGAAAGATTACTGACTTGAGTGTTAGTCTGTGCATTAAAGATCCTCAAGTGCAGTAAATCCTTTCATAATAGTTTTCTTAACTTTTTTAGGTGTACACTTATTAATATTTACTGTCTTGTGCAGCTATCATCGTCTGTTCAGTTAATTACGTTTCAGTGACAACGAAGTTGTGCCCTGAAACGAATCATCCCCAGTCCCCCAGCCTCTCCTATCTCGGACAACCACGATCTTTGAGTCTTTGGATTTTACCTATTGTGAATATTTCAGATGCGTGGAATTAATTACATACTGTGTATATTTTCCCTCTGGCTTGGTTTAGGTTTTTTTGTTGTTTTATCGGTACCAGGGATCGAACTCAAGACCGCGCGCTTGCAAGGCAAGTGCTTATGCCGCTGAGCTAAATCCCCAGCCCTTGGTTTAGTATTTTCAAGGTGTTTCTGCTTTTGGGGCATTTCACAGTGCTTGGTTCTTGAATAATACTGAATAGTATTGCTCTGTTGCATTTGTTAAATCCATTTTATGTGTTGATGAACTTTCTATTAACAGTTTTTGGCTACTGTAAACAGTGCTGCCCAGAGGTTACTTGGGATCTTGTGTATTGTCTGAAAATGTGCTGCCACTTGTCCCAAACTTAACATTTTTAAGAAAATTGACACTTGGTTGTCACTGCCTTGGAAATTTGATTAGTAATACGGTAATTGGTCATGGAAAAGCAAGTTTCTGTGGAATCTTGTCAGGGAAACCTAAAAAAGTGAAAAGTTTGAGGTCCTGTTTTACTAAACCTGAGAAAGTTTCACTTCATGAAGGATGTTTCTGTATCCAAAGGGTGGCTCACCAACTTGATGGCTATGTACAAACCAGTATGTACCTGGGTTTCTTATTTTCTGTGTTAACACAAGCTGATTGAAGGGGAAGGGTGGCTAATGTCAGATGGCCTAGGTGTTTTGTCTCAGCCTTCTTCGCATGGTTTGAAAAGAGATTAATCCCATCTGGTTTGTTGCACTCACTTTGCAGTTAACCTGGGGATAAAGCCTCACCCATCTTAAACCAGTGAAAGACGTATTAGCTTTTTTATTAGTGCATTTGATGTTTTATTTATGTTTGAGACAGAGCCTAGCGTCATGCAGACTAGCTTTAAATTCATTGTAGCCCAGGCTGGCCTGGAATTCTCGGAAATCCTCCTGCCTCGGCCTCCCAAGTGCTGGGGTTACAGGAGTGCAGTACCATGCCCAGCTGTTGATTCCCTTTTTCTGAAGCTTTCCTAATTTCTAAGTGTTTTATTTCGAGGACATTATTTCCTCCTTAAATTCCTGGTTTCTTGAGGTTTTTAGTGAAAGTAAGTGGAAGTGGACGTTTTGAGAGTAGTACTTCTGATTTGTTATTTAGCATTTTGTAATTCTTTTTTAGGATTTATTTTTAACTGTGTACTCTTTGGATAAATGTTTTGGTATCTTTTGTTGCAGAGATGCATCGCGATTCCTGCCCATTGGACTGTAAAGTTTATGTCGGGAATCTTGGCAACAATGGCAACAAGACTGAGCTGGAACGGGCTTTTGGCTATTACGGACCACTTCGGAGTGTGTGGGTTGCTAGAAATCCTCCTGGCTTTGCTTTTGTGGAATTTGAGGATCCCCGAGATGCAGCGGATGCTGTCCGAGAGCTAGATGGAAGGTAATTTACTAATGTATAGTTGGGGTCAGGGATGTAGCGCAATGGCTTAAGTGCCTGCCTGGCAAGCATGAAGTCATGAGTTTAATCCCTGGTACCAAAAAAGTACTTTTTTTTTTTTTTTTTCAAAAAAATGACATACACTAATGGTAAATGGTGTGTGTGTGTGTTTTGTTTTGAGACAGGATCTCACCTGTGTAGTCTGGTCTGGCCTCAGACTCACTATGTGGAACAAGCTGGTTTTGAATTCTTAGCAGTCCTGCACGTTAGCGTTACAGGCTGTGTCACCAAATGCTGCATGGTGGTTTTGTTTTGTTTTTAATTGAAAAATTTTAGGTTCTAGAACTTGTTTATGAATGGTTTTTGAAGTTTTGGAAATCACTAATAGAGGCACATGAAACCCTATAATCCTAGTACTTTGGAGTCTGGGACAAGAGAATCTCTCAAAAACGATGAAAAAGAACTAGGAATATAATATAGCTTAGCAGTACAAATTCCTGCCTGGCAAGTACAAGGTCCCAAGTTTGATTCCCAGAGCCAAAAACAAAACCAGGGTGGTGGCGCACACCTGTGATTCCAGCAAAGAGTTGATAATCACTTTAAACTGTTTCGCAGTGGTGGTCTGTGTAGGTTTACTGTGCTGCTTTAATTGTTAGAAAATATTTTTTAGAGCCAGGCGTGATGGCTCACGCCTGTAATCCCAGCACTTGGGAGTCTGAGGCAGGAATATCATTGGTTGTCCCAGACCAGCCTGGGCTACAAAGTGAGCTCAAGGCCAGCCTGAACTGCACAGCGAGACCCCTTCTCAAAAAAAAAGAAACCAAAAAATATATATATTTTTTAGCTAGATGTGCACTGCCTGCTGTTGTCCTTAGGGCTTGTTTCACTAGGTAGTGGAACGGATACCCCTGAGTCTACAGAGCAGTGGGTGTTGACTAAGTCTCTTCCTGGCTTGAGTTTGAAAACCAGGAGGAAATTGTTAACCCAGAAGATTCAGAAACAAAATTCTGCTTCAGAATTTGGGAAACAGGTCACAGCAGCTTAAATGCAGGGCTGGCTCTTGCTGCACTAAGCTGGTTGGAGGGCCCAGGCAGAGATGGGGCTCACCCTTTCTTGGTCCTGTAGCAAGGCATTTAGACGCAATTGTGGGCAAGTGGAGGGAGGACTCATTCTGCCTGTGATTTCCTATATGCACATACTATGCAGTGATTGAGGGGAGGTAACGAAACCAAGCAAAGCATCCTGTGGTTTACTTGGAAATGACTGAGAGGAGAGGGACTGACTGCCCAAGAGCAATAGTGTACAGTTTAGGCTGGGGATGGAGCAGAGTACACAGCAAGTAAACGTGTCTGAGACCTGCCCCTAAGGAAAAGCATCTCGGTGGGAATATAGGACAGCTTGTCCAGGGGTCTTTGCACTTAAATTATAAACCATTAACTGATTAACATTGGACTCAGTCACTGGATTCTTCTAACAAGTGGGAAGATAGTGCCCTGTGAATTGGTGCTGTTATAAAAATCCCATTTTATATATTTAATTTGAATAAAATGCCAGTGCTGTATCATTTTACATAGCAAAATATAAGGAAATTAAAGTTCATATTAAAAGATTCACAGCGAAGTAGTTGTGTCTGCAAAGTAGCTGTGTACTGTTTGCTTTTCATGTCCCTTTTAGGTGGCCTGTCTGTTTTTAATGTAACACCTCTTCCCCGTAGAACATTGTGCGGCTGCCGTGTCAGAGTGGAACTGTCCAACGGTGAAAAAAGAAGTCGAAATCGCGGCCCACCTCCATCCTGGGGGCGCCGCCCTCGAGATGACTACCGCAGGAGGAGTCCCCCGCCTCGCCGCAGGTATTTGGCAGAGCGCCTGTCTCAGCTAGCGGTGTGTGGAATAGCTAGTAGCCAGGCGTTTCTCTGAAGTTGTTGGTGGGGTTTAAACTGGAGGCTCGGAGGTTTCTGCAGCTCTGGCCGGGGCGTAGTTGGGGTATGCGAGTGGTGCTGAGTGTTGGCTTTGTCTGTAGGTCACAATCCTGTTGGTAGCTAGGAGCTTCTGTCTTGGATCTGTCTTCTAGTTCATCTTATAGTTGCATCTTTCCCAATCTTCCCTTATACTTCAGGTTAGGCCTTTTCCCATTTCTTGACTCCATTATGACAAACATTACATTCAATTCTAGCTCTTCACAAAAATGTTGTTAGTGCAGTTGTAATATGTATCAACCTGGCAGCTGTTTAAATGTTACAACTGGTAAAGTAGAAATTCTGAAACTGAAGTCACTGACCAATAATAAAGGGGGCTAAAAAAGAAGTAATCCCAGTCATCTGTTCTTCGATCCCAATAGGAGAAAATTCAGTTTTTTTTATAATTGAAAGTGACGTCACTCTTGGACCAGGCAGTATTGTCTGGGTGCTAACTCCACATCTCCTCAGAACCTCCAAAATAGTTTCTAGAGGACTGAATTTACCTCTTACAGGTGGGTGAAGTCCTAGGAGATGAGTTCAAAATCTTGCCCCTTTTGCTGTTTTGAAAAACAACACACTGTTGCCCATCATAATGAAGAGTATTTGTTAGCTAAATAGATGGTTGTACTGATGGCTTGTTTTTTTTTTTTTTTTTCATTTTTTTGTGCTTTTTGGTCCATCTATTAATAAAAATGAACCCCGTTACAGAGTCACCATCATGTCTCTTCTCACCACCCTCTGAATCTGCATTAGCCAGTCAACTAGCCCTTTCAGCGTCATGTGACCAGCGCGCCCCATTCAGCTTGGCTGGTGTCGTTTCACATGACCCAGGCTGGCCAGTCGTCAGGTTGCACCGCCCTTTGGTTCCCGAGCATGCTGTTTTCTCTCAGCCTTCTCTCCAACCTTAACCAAATCGGCAGCAGCCACCTCGACCGCCCACACATTCCTGGCCAATCAGCTCAGCTGTTTATTTACCAAATGTCTTCACAACAACTACAGCAGCAGCCTTCGGCTAACAAAAAAGCAGGAAAAATCCACAACACCCCCTTCGCCAACCAACTAAATCCAACGCAACATCTGGCAAAACCTTTTCAGCAAATTCTTCCTGGCCGTCAGTCCGGCAGCCTCACCTCACCATTTCTAGCTTGTTGAAACCCAAAACTAGTAAGTTTTTCCTGCTTATACAGTTTACTGCTGGTTAAAATAAGGAGTAAGCGGCTTAAAAGTAATTCTTTTTCTGGATCAAAGGCTGGCTGTGCATAATTGAATGGTAACGTACATATATATTGCTTGAAAAACTTTTAAGGGTGATAGGGAACTGGTAACGATCTTCAAGTGAAACTTATTTGCATGTGTGAGATGCCAAACTAAAAAATTTTAATATCTCTAACAGATTTTAGCTTTTCCTCCTAGCAAAAATTTGTTGAATCCTATCACCTTTAAATGGTTTTACTAACCGTTTTCAAAAATTTGGGGGAGAAGTGTGGGCCAAGCTAAGGTAATTGGATAAGCCTAAGCACACTCTGATGGGACGATCACAATGCAGCTCTAATGTAGCACTAAATGGCATCGGTATTGACACCTAGCGCATTTTCACAAAATTACACTCCACCTGGTACCTAAGTCTTGTTATGGACTTAACAGGTTTGCATGGGTTCCAAATACTGGTTTATGGTACTGTTTTTGGAACTACTTGTGGGGCTACATTTTGGTGTGGTGTTTGGGTAGCAAAGTTAATTTGACATGAAGTTTTGCATTGGACAGATCTGCTGTGAAGCATTCTTTGTTAAAGTGAATCCATGGTTGGAATACCTGCTTTTCACTTGAGCTTTTGTTCCTTAATCCTTCTGTGCCCTTTTTTTCTTTTCTTTTTTTTTATTTTTGGACGATGGGTGCCGGTTCTTCGGCACATTCACTGGGCCCAACAGTGAGATTGAAAAGTTGGGAATTGCCTCACACCAAAAATACAAATTGATGATTGGCCTAATTTTCCCATTTCTGCTTTTAGATCTCCACGAAGGAGAAGTTTCTCTCGCAGCCGGAGCAGGTAAATACTGTTGGGGCTGCTTTCTCACAAATGCCACACCAGCTGTCCTGAGCCGGGTTCTCAGGTCTGTGGTTGATGGCAGGGGTGAATCTGTGTGTGAAGCTCGTTGGATGGCAAGAGAGGCAGGCCGGGTTCTGAGTTTTCAGAGGTGTCTTTGCAAAGTGTAATTATACCTCAGTGGACTTGACCTCCTTTCTCTTTGGTTTAGGTCTCTTTCTAGGGATAGAAGAAGAGAGAGATCACTGTCTAGGGAGAGAAATCACAAGCCGTCTCGATCCTTCTCTAGGTCTCGCAGGTAAGGTCTCAGCCCGAGTTGTGGAAGGTTTGTGTGTGAATTCTCTTAAGCAGTGACTTTGTTGATAGTGTCGCTGAGGCGCAGATACAAAGTTTTATTTATTGTTCTGTTTTGTTTTGTTAGCCGATCTAGGTCAAATGAGAGGAAGTAGAAGACCAGTTTGCAGGAGAAGTGGTGTACAGGAATTAACTTCATTTGACGGGAGTATGTACAGAAAATTCAAGTTTTGTTTGAGACTTCATAAGCTTGATACATTTTTAAGATGTTTTAGCTGTTCACCTTTGTGTCTTGGAACAGTGACACACAACAATGTCATTCTCTCTGGTTTGAGATGGATCATATGAGGCATGTAATACCAAGAATTGTTACTTTACAATGTTCCCTTAAGCAAAATTAAGTTTGCTTTGAACTTTAGTCTTGCACAGACTGACAATAAACCTGTAAATTCTGCCTAAAGTCTAATGTTCTAATGTTACAGAAAAAACCTGGCAAAATTGAAGACCTGTTTGTTAGCTGAGGTAGTAACAGTGTGCAGCTGTAGCATGCCAGCGGGTGGGGATGGAGCTAGGTGGACATGTGAAAAATAGAACAGGTCTTTATCCTGGCAGAGGTTTCCTGGTCAGTGTGGAATTGGGTAAATTTCAAGGAAATTTACCCCTGCTAGGTCATGTTCCTATGTGATGCTGTATGAATCCATAGTTGTTGGCATCTTTATTTGAAAACCGGAGATTTCAGAGAACCAGTGTGGTGCCGGTTTAAGGGTACATTGTAGAGCTGAACTTTCACGTTACTGTGCAAGATTTTTTTCATGCTGTCATTTGTAATATGTTTTGTGAGACTCTTTGGGATTAAAGTTTTGGTTACAAATTGTTATTTAACTTGGAAGCCTGTTTTTCCTTGCAAACTCAGAATATATGATCTTGATACCAAGTTCAGGTATAACATTCCTATTGGAAGCCATACTTATATTTTCTTGTAAAAGTGCTTTTGAATTAATAAAATAGCATAATTCTGTAATGGTAAGTTCAACCCACTGTTAGCATTTTCTTGTCCTGTGGAAGGCAGTTGGTCACACGAAACATACCTGACAGACACTGGGTTAATTTTCCAATGTGAATGCGATTTTTGGTTACCATCTAAGCGATGATTAGCAGTTACCCAACTTTTAGGAATTGAAACCAGTTCAGGGTCCCTTACACTTTGTGATTATCATTTTAAATTCAGTGAACAGCGATCTGGGAACCAGGTAACCCAGAGTGAGTTGCCCGTAAAAAATGGCTTTTATCTTTGGCATGAAAATTTTCCAGTTGGAAAAAATTGCTTCCATTTTATAATTTGAGATGTTGCATGGGAATTCCAAATTGATCCAATTGTAACAGTGCAGAATTGAATATGGAGGCATGCATAACCTTCCTCTTAGAAATCTGGAAGAGTTGTAACTTGAAGTTTCTTGTGCAATTAGATTAAATCATAATGCAACAGTCTCGTGGCTTAGTTTCCTTAAATGTGCTCCATAGCTTGGATCTGCATTGACAGTTTCAAAAAGAGCCAAGTCATTGCCTTGAGTGACATCTACAAAGATCCAGTTTCCCGTGACTCTTGTCAACCCTTCAGACAATCCCCGCAAGGCAGTGTGGGGGTGAATTTACAACAGCATTTTCAAGGAAAACCTCACGTTTGGTCTCCCGTTGGTTCACTGGGACCTGTAACTCTGGTCTTCTCTCTTCTGCCATTTCCCTGTGATCTTAAAAAGTCCCTTCCTGCTGGGAACTGGCCGGGGTAGCTAAGGACTTAGTAAAATAAGACAGCTGTGGATTACGCCACTTTGGGAAGCTGCCACTTGGGGTGGTAACAGCCTTAGCAGACAGGATATTAGGTGGTGGCTGTTAAACTGACCCTCCTATTTGTAGCTGTGCAGTGTGGAGAGGAGACCCTAGTCCAGGTGCAGTGACTCCAGGTACTCACCAGGTCACTGTTAACACGGGTGACAATGCACAGGAGCTTGGGAAGGTCCAGTGAAGGATTTCCCATGCGGCTCTCACCCCTGTGTGTTGAGCAGAACGTTAATTTAGAGATTCAAGAAACTTGGTCGGGAACTTTAGTAATCTGCAAGACATCACAGGAGGCAGGCAGTCTGCTGGTGGCCTCGTCCTGTAGAGCTGGTGGGTCACACCCAAGCATATGGGAGGTCTTGTTTCCTTCTGTAATTAGAGCTCTGGTTCCCTTTGGTACAGCAACCTAGTGTAACAGTCTCCCAGAATATGCCTGCCTGGCTTATGGGGCCAGGGATTTAGCCTCTGCCTGGCAAGTGTTAGGTTGCAGGTTTGGTCCCCAGTACCAAAAAAGGCGTCAGAGTATGCATAGCTGGACTGCAAGCCTGTTAGGGTGAGTTCCCAGACTACCCTCCCAGCGTCATTAGGACTGATTGCTGACACAGTCCTGCTTACATTATCACGGTTGGGTTTTTAATTCAAGGAGAAAAATACCACTGCTTTAGTACTTAAACTATTTCAGTAAATAAACTTTTCTAGTTTTAGGATTTTGAACAAGATTTGCTACTTGATAATGTTTCACTGTATATTTTTGTACTGCCAGACTGCTGCCTTCTGGTTTTGTTTTTTGGGTTTTTGTTTTTGTTTTGATGATGTGACACATTTTTATAATTAAAGTAGCTGAAGAAAAACGAGTATATTTTCAGCTGAACAAGCTGGGAATGCTGTATCCTGACTCCATGTGTTCACACTACATCTTTTCATCTGTTCAGTCAGGGCTCAGTGGATACCCAAAGGACTCTGCCTGTAGCCTGCTGAGGCTCCAAGGGACGGGAGGACTCGTTCTTGCCAGGCTGGTCGGTCCCTGTTGAACCACAGGTGCTCCCAGTCCAGTCCAGTATAAGAGCTGGGTGCTTGAGTGCCCGGGACCCGCTCCCCTGGATAGGAACGGCAGCCAGGGGTGAGTCTGCACTCCCTGGAAACACCTGACGTCATGTGTTCTGCACGAGTCCTGGAGAGTTGCCTGGCTGTCTGGGACAGGCCTGTAACCCTGACACAGGGAATGCTGAGCAGGAGGCTGTTTCCAGGGGAAAGCGGTCATTTCCTGGAAGTGGGCAGTGTCCCTACATCTAACAGCCCTCGGGAGCTGGTAAACCTCCTCTGTAGGAGGGCTCCTCTTGAGGTGGAAAGTGTCGCAGCCCCCAAAGCAAAACCCCCTCCAGCAGAGCCACAGGAGAGTAACCTGAGTTACAAGTTGTCCACACAAGCCTTTTAGAGCCCCATGTCACACAGCACACGGGGATTCCTGGGGATGGGCTGGTGCCCACAGGTGCTGGCAGGGCCCAGAACCCTGCATCCAGAGAACAGCTGGAGTGCATGCTTCTCCAGGCGCTGTTACTTTCCTTTCCGGTTTTTGAGACACCATGTCCTTGGGGCTGGTGTCAAGACTTGCTGCGATCCTTGGGCAATGGGTGCCACTACAGCATTGGCAGAAGGCAGAGATTGCGTGAGGATAGCAAGTATGTTTTGTGTTGAAGTTTCTTCAAGGTTCTCAGGAAACGGTTTCTGAAGCTCCAGCGAGGTCATATTTTTAACCCTCCTTCCACTAAGCACTGCCAACAGATGACACCCACAATCACTGTCACCTGGATCCCGCCATGCTGCTCTCCTGACCCCTTCCCCATGGCCCACACCCCCTCCATCTAGTGAGTGGGGCTGTGTTGCCTTAAGGTGAACCCCTTGTGCCTCAGCTGCATTAGGAGCAGGTGAGTGCTTTGACCCTGAGGTGCACTCCTACCTGTCTGTCCCCTGGGGTGCAGTCTGGAGTCTTGCTGGAACCAACTTCACCCTGGACCTCAGTCCTGCTCCACCCTCCTGCCCGCACCCCAGAGCTGAGGGGGTGTTCCATGGTCTCCCCCGGGCCTGGTGGGGTGCATGTCTTCAGTTGAGGCACAAGACATCTGAGCGCTGGCAGCAGGCACAGCAGCGGAGGTCAGGTGGTGGAGCCTGGTGGAGAACCATGAAAGTCCTACCAAAGTGTCTAGACAGTTGGCTGCTTCTAGCAGCTTGGGGGCACCAGGCCTGGTGGCCACATGTCCTCAGAGTTTGGAGGCAGAGGCTGCTGTGAGTTGCAGGTCAACTTGGGCTCTGCAGTGAGGGGAAGCCAGCTGGAGCACAAGCAGCCCCAGGTGGCTGTTGGGCTTCCTTTCCTCCTGTTGCTGAGACAAGGTCCCAGATGCCCACAGTGAAAGCAAGGGAGGGTTTGTTTAGCTCACAGTTCACGGAGGTCTCAGTCCTAACTCTGCTGGCTCCAAGACAGACAGTGGCCTGGCACAGGGGCAGCGGCTGGAGCAAAAGGGAAAACAAGCCTCCTCCCTTCAGGGCGGTGTAGCACCCACCAGATCTCTGCCCTTCTGCACAGGATGGGGATATTTATGAAAGAACCCTGGCTCCCCGCTGGGGCTGTTACATTTCTCAAGTTGACACAGTGTCAGCCACAGCAGCGCCTTGTCTGCGCCTCACCAGGTCCCTGGTCCCAGGGCAAGCGAAGGCCTTGGAGTGGTCCTAGCCTTGGGATGGTCCTAGTGGGAGCATCTGCCTCAGAAAGGGCCTCCTAGTCCGGTGCCTGCAAAGTTCCCCTGGAGCTGTGCGGGTGGAGATGGGTGGGTGGTGCCAGCCATTCTGTTGGTGCTCACTGTTGGAGCTGAGTCACACGTCTGAGACGCACAGGATGCTCAGCCACCGTGCAGGGCTGCAGTGTCGCAAGGTCTCACGGCCAGCACAGGCGCTCCTCCTCCCCTCAGCCTGCTGAGCACAGGGTTATCCGCGTGCACCCCATAGGGGCCCAGCAGGTGCGCTCCGTCGCAAGGAGAGGGCTCTGGGACCTGGGGGTAGGGGGGGCAGGGCCGGATCTGTGGAGGGGACTTGGCCATTTGCTTAGGTTTGCAGGCCATCGAGGATCAAGCTGAAACTGGGCTGGGTTGCAGGCCAGTGTAGAGAAACCAGAGTTCACCTCGAGTGCCTGGTCCAAGCTCCCCATTAAGTGATGAGGACTCGCACGTGTCCCTCAACCATAGAGTCACAATGGCAGAGGATGCAGCAGCCAGTGTCCTTGCGGCACGGTCCGCTCCGCTCCTGTGCAGCGAACAGCAGCTCCTGCGCTTGTGGCTTGAGCTGCTTGGGGGAAACTGACCCAGCCGATGTCCCGGTCTGCCAGGCAGGCAGCAGGCAGACGCCCTGTGATGTGGGAGGCTGGGGACACAGTTACGCCGCCTGAAGGATGGGAGGAGTCCCACAAAAGGGTCTGCAATTCCAGAGCTGGCCGGAAGGTGGCAGCAGCGACTAAACCTCACCTCTGCTCTGTAATAGGGTTTCAGGGCTGGGGATGGAGCTCGGGATGGAGCTTGTACTTTCTTAGCAAACCAGAGGCGCTGGGTTCAAGTCCAGCATCAGAATGGGAGAAGATATCCCCCCCCACCCTATCTCTTAAACTTTCTTGACAGCATCTTGCTCTGTGGCCCAAGCTGGCCACAGCTCACAGCTCACAGCTATCCTGCCTGGGTCCCCATGCCCAGGAGGGGAAGAGTTCCCAGCAGGCATCCTAAATCAGAGCCTTGTTTCAGCTGCGTCTGCTGCGCCAGGCTTCTCCTGCCAGGCCCCGCCCTCAGCCCGCTTGGCAGTCTGAAAACCCGCATTCCTGGGCTTCTCATTCCCGAGTTCTTGCTGCTGCTCTGGGAGCCCTTGAGAGCTGCCTTCTCTTTGGCTCCGGGACAAAGCGTCCCCTCGGGACAAGGATGTCTCCAGCTCCTCCTGCTCAGAGGGGGCCAGGCTTATGGGGCGACCCCAACTATTTCAACCCCAGTTACTGCAAACCTGTCTCGGGGGAGTGGTCCAGACTTACAGATGGGAGTTGCACTGATCTGAATTAAATTCCTTGTTTTGTGGCCCGGCCTCAGCCCTCTGCAGGCAGCACAGCCTGGAGGCAGAGGACAGGGGAGGCCTCCGTCCAGGCCAAGGATGGGGATGCACGGAGAGATG